ATATTCTTGATTAACAAAACAAATCCGATCGTTAATTGCGATATATATTGATTCAGATTCGGACACTGTTCTGCTTTATTTAAAAGAAAAATTAACTCCATGCAAATAAGTAAGGAGACCATTGGCGCAGGTTTTGTACAGACGCAAATTAAATGCTTTTCAGTTAATCCATTCGATGAGGCGATCTCACTGTTACTATCATCTTAATGTATAACATACTATTAAAGCATATTCTATCTTTTTTTGGTTTAATGTTACTAATATATTGTTCTCCTATTAATTGATTTACCCCTATTTTTTCAGCATCGATATCAACTAATCAGACTCTTCTTATGAATGTTACCATGGAGACGAAACAGGAAATGGTGTACTACCGGATAACGCAGGTAACAGCCGTTAATATGGAAAGAACGGAGAATTAACATTTATTATCTTAGTGTTGACGCTAGTTACTTATTGTTGCTGTCACGGAGATATTAGTATGTATACATCGTTAATACTGAAAGACCATATAAATATTTATTCATGTACTAGTTACATGCTACAACGCCAAATGACCTCGCTGGAAGCAAGTTTCTGATTCATCCTTGGCAAGTTTTTTGTAGATGTTGGTGTATGTTTTAATTACGCAAAAACGTTAGAGATGATTGTTACAGCTGGACCAACTGCACTTGGTCTAGATTTGGATGAAATCGAAAATAATTAAATGAAAAAAGCTATTATCTGCTCCAACTCTTTGTCACTACTACAAAGTATTAAAAATCGGAACTTTTGAAATACAACAATACAAAGTATGTGCCCTCCGTATTTACAGAATTTAAGATTTCTATCAACTGATCTCGACTTGGATTCCCGGCCTTGTCGGAATAAATGGAAATGAAAAAGTAGATAGAGCTGCTAAGGCAGCACTTAACCCCAATACGAAAGATATTATACTGCCCTATTCTGATTTTAAACATTCAATAGCTAATTTTATTAAAACGAATTGGCAAAAAAAATGGTCTGAAGAAAGAAACAATAAGTTTTGTTCAGTTCAACCTAATGTAGGTTCATGTGCAAAAGGTAAAGCAGACCGCAGATTGGAAGTTGTCCTCTCGCGACTACGCATAGTCATGTCGTGATCAGCCATTTACAGTCAAACACTTCATGATTAAATGCTTGGTTTGTTTTATTATTGTTTAACTTTAACGTCCTTTCAAAAGTTATGTTGGTAATTTAAGGACGGTATCCCATGTGTGCAAGATGCGGAACTGATGCCGACTTTTTATTGCTACCTCACTGAAATATACTGCCGAAAACGCCCATCAGGACAACCCACCGGTCACATTATACTGACAACGGGCGAACCAGTCGTTCCACTCCTAAATTGCTGAGCGTTAAGCAGGATTAGAAACTACCATTTTTACAGACTGGTATGTTGGTTAGGGGACAGAACCCAAAGCCTTCCTCACAGGGGCAAACGCTCAACTAAAGGCCAAAAGTGAGACATTGTACAGAGTGGCAAAGAAGAGAAAATATAGATCCCAAATTTAGTCGCCTCTTACGATCATGCAATGGGGGCAGCAGGTACAATTTTTATTCCCTACCTGCAGGGACATGAATGTGCTGATTTAAAACAAATACGTGACAGATTTTATAATGTACCCTCTATGAAACGTTTAATTGATAGTTTCTGTGCAATCAATTTATGATTACTTACATTCAATTAATCTCTATAATAAGAAATAATTCGTTTGCAATTGATATATATTAACATCTTTACACATTTTAACCTTTTGTTTTTATGTATTCAGTTTTTTGTGAATGTCTATTTCTACACAGTTGTTTGGCCCTAAATGACTCAAATTGTTGTTTGGCCAATTGACAATACAAAATAAATTAAGAAGAAAAAAATATTATGACATTGTGCCAAATTAATTTTGTTCTGTGCCGTATACACTTGCCTAATAAAAAAAATATCTATTCAAGAAAATATTCATTAAACATCCAACGGTAGCAATACATTTCGCCTGAAAGTTATGCTTCCGGGCAAAAATTATAATTTGTTTCTGTTTTACCAGCGACAAGCGTTTAAAACTATTTTTTTTTAAATCACATATTTCTTTATTTTTTTGGATTGTGATTTCTTGGCTTATCATGGAAACGTTTTCTATCTTCCTGGTTTACCCGTTGTCAGTATGATGTGGCTGGGTCGAATTCTGTGTTGGGTGTCTTCTTCTTTGTTTACGATGTAGCACTTTGAAGTTGACATCATATCTGCACTATCGCAAGGAGGCAAATGCATCAATATACCCTACCTCCAACTCATAAAAAATGACATCAGCTAAATCCGTCGACACTGGACCTACAAATATTGTCATTATTTTGGATTGTGTCCTACTAGCTAATCACGAGAATATATACATGTTCCTAATTTTATATTTAGCTTCAGGGAAGTTTGATGGTTTCCGGTCTGGTAACAGAAGTGTTTCTTGGTGCGACTGGCCTTCTGGGATACCTGGTGAAACTGGTTGGCCCTATCACAGTCTGTGTGGCGATTACGTCTATTGGATTGTCCGTATACCCCATCTCTATATTCTACTGTAGCACGTGTCCTCCGGTCGCTGTCCTGTAAGTTGTACGACGTTAGCAATATTCTTCCTAGCGTCTATGAAATGTTGTTTCTGTAACTTTGAATTATGGCTGTGTCCTGAAAAAAAACTCCTGAAATATTCATAAATTAACGTCATTTTACTACATCACATGGGACATGTGCCCTGGAATATTGATCGAAAAGAAACATGATTATCCTGGAGTGACGTTTTCGAGTTCTTGAAACAATGCAAGCTTGCCTCTTATACGGATTGCTGCAAGAGTTATTTAGTTATTATTGGAAACTTAACGGCCCGTCAACACAGAACAGTCCAATCAAAGGTAGATAAAATACTTAAAAAGAAATTACATCAAACACACAAACGGATAAAAAGACAAATATCAACTATAAAAGCAAACGAGGCTATTGGCAGATACAAAAGACCAACAATCCCAATCCAAATTGATTTAAACTAATGTTGAAACGGGGGGAGGGGTGTGTGCATAAAAAGGATCAATTATATTAATTTGTTAGTTTACATGAGTATTGGTGAATTTCAAATTAAATAACGATTATAAACCGTGCCACTACTCAAAACAATAATGTGGTTTCAAGGTTGCAGCAAACCGTTAGGGTCTTCAAGTTTGTATATTGAAAGATGAACGTAAACCTGTTTAATAACATAAGCACATAAAGGGGTCTTTAACATTAATTTTACTTCCCTGAGTGATAGTATTGTGTTTACGGCCGCCGTGTACACTACTGCATTGTCCTGTACTGTCTTGCTGTGTGATTTGTGATACTATTGCATCATTTTGTATTTCCAAATCCTGTGGATAAGCCGTGTATATTTCATTAACAGGTTAATAGTGTAACCAATCTACACTCTGATTTATTGCTTTGTTCTCAACGTTTCTTATTTCGATAGCGGTACACTTACCATGATTTTGTGTGTTATGTACCTCAAAGACATCTTTGTACCAATACCAACAATGCATTGCAACAGAAGGAATGCGAATATATTAGAGCCGAAGAAGAGAACAAAGTTGCCATTTTGCCAGATATTTCCGGTAAGTTCATCATTTTGTATTAAAACGCAGCAAATGATCAAAAAACATATCCTGTTGAGGGGACATATCTTCGGTTCGTTTTTTTCAGGTCTCATTACCTCACATAAAATAATGTGAAGACGTAATGTTTTAACAGACTGATTATAAAAAATGTTTTATTATTTGTGTTATGACTTGCGTCACTACGTCACTGGTTTTTGTTTTGCTGCCATAAATGACATTTATTTTTCAACGTCATTTTCATCTAGTTGCTAATGATGTTATTTGTTGTAACCTTTTCTGACGTCACTGTTTGTGTTTATTAGATAATCACCACAGTGATAGTTTCGTGGGCGCTGTGTTGGGTTCTGACCTTGACAGGGGTGTTTCCCGATGACCCCAATGACCCCGGATATCGTGCTAGGACAGACGCCCGTGGAGATCTGATATCCCTGTCTCCATGGCTGTTCTTCCCTTACCCAGGTAAAAACAAAACAAAATTGGTTATATTTTGTTAAACGTCCTATTAACAGTTAAGATAATTAAAATACGACCCTTCATGTATGTAATGTATGCATGCTTGTGTATGTGTGCTGGAGACAGGAGAGTACGAATCTTATTTATTGTTATTATTATTATCAATGATTAACGGCCCTTCAACACAGGATAGGTCATTAGGTCCAAACAATGGTCGACAAAACAAATGCTGAATCAAATATAGAAGGTGTGAAAAAGGAGAAAGAACAAATAATAATAAAAGAGAAAGGACACAGGGAAAGAAAAAAAGGACAGAAACAATATCTACGCTATATACATGGGACTCTGAGGATTTACCGGGCCTCCAAGAAAACTGGGTCCACGTCCCGAGGCTCGGTACGTTGGTGCTCAGTGCGTATGTGATCATTTCGGGGGTATGATTGTGGCGCGCTGGGCGTCATCGTAGCAGAAGGCTTTCACAGTAGCTCCAATTTGAGCCAACCTGTTTGCCGTGGGTTGCATCTCGTATTCCTGGGGGAAGAAGATCCTGGTAGTTGAGCAGAGTCGGAATCACTGTCAAACTCTTGATAGGAAGGAGACATGATCCGATATTCTGCAACATACTGCTTTGGCTTCGGACTCTGGGTAGACGAGAGGTGATATGGGCCCTCTATCACCAATCGGCTGGTCACGCCGAGCCCTTGGTTTACATACTCCCAAGAAGGCGGTGGCTTAGGGTCAATCGCGAGAGTATACTCTTTCAAATAGTATGTATATTCTTACGAGTATCCTATTCTATGTATCTCCGACACTTGGCGCTGGATATCCGCGTCACACCAGTGTCCCCTTGTTGGGCTTCATGGCGGGTGGAGGCATAGATCGTGAAACAAACAAATATACACATGGGTAAAGATAAAAACCACCAAAACGACGGACATAACAAAATCAGGAACGATGAACCAAGCTCAAAAACAACACAAAACGCAACACAGAACACCCAATTCCCGCAATTCCTTGTGATGACCTCCACACAGAGTGGTAAAACAACGGCCGCGTTGTCGCCACCTCTGTTGAGGAAGGGCATCCAGGGAATCGCAGGGGATGTGAAATCTGTTAAGCCATTGGGATCGGGCGATCTCCTTATAGAGGTTTATCGCCAACAACAGGCGATGAACCTACTCGGAACAACCAGTTTTGCCGGCATCGGTGTCAGTGTGAAGCCACACTCTTCACTTAATTGCAGCAAGGGGGTAATCAGGTGCCCAGCCTTGCGCAATGACACCGATGAAGACATACTGGCATATTTCCAGGAGGAGAGCGTCCCGGTCTCTGAGGTGAGGCGGATGGTGATCAGGAGAAACAATGATACTATCAAAACAAACACCTTCATCATCACTTTTTCAACGCCAACACTACCCCATATACTAACAATCGGATACAAGAGGTACAACGCTTCCGTCTACATCCCAAATCCATTGCGATGCCGAAACTGTCAGAAGTACGGTCATCACGAAAAGCGATGTAGACGAAAATCGATCTGCCAGTATTGTGGCCGTGAGGGTCACACCAAGGAAAATGACTGTGACATCGCCAACCTGCGCTGTGTCAACTGTGAGGGGAAGCACGCTGCCTCTTCTCGCAACTGCCCTACCTGGAGCCAGGAGAGGGATATATTACGGGTTAAATATACCCGAGGTGTCTCTTTCCCCGAGGCCAGGAGGATAGTCGGGAGTGCAGACATTGCTACACCCTCTTACGCACAAGTGACTCGAGGCAAGGCGACGGTTGACAGTGTCACGGTCAAGGATGTTTCGGTTCAAGTTTCTGAAGACATACCTGCCTGGGGCTCACAAGTCCCAGCCATGGCTGGTCAACAGAACTTGAAAATCCTCACGGGGGACCCATCCCGTTTCACGACTTTAACCAAACCAACCAAATCAACCAAACCAAACAACCTGTCAAAAGCAGCATCACCCTCAAAAACAGCATCTTCATCAAAACCAGCAACACCATCAAAACAAGCACCACCATCAAAAACACCTTCCTCTTCAGGAGAAAACCCTCCAAAGGCTGGCCCATCTAGGGCACAGATGCGGTCGCAGCGATCTCCCTCACTCACATCTGTTCCTCGGTCCCAAATGAGGCAAGACGTAACATCACCTACCAACAGACCTAGGAAAAAAATTAGAATAGCGAGGGGCAAATCTGATGACCTGATCTGAACGTCACCTTTGGCAAAGGATCAGAGGACCCGACAAACCGGTTCAATGTCCTTCTAGATTACGATGAGGAGATGGAGACGATTGCCTTAGCGCCTTGTGCTTTGACTCCATCGAAATCCAGCCAAAATAGCAGAATATAAATAATAAAATTATCCAATGGAACATCCGCGGATTAAAGGCAAATATAAAAGAATTTCAGAATCTATCAAAAGAATTTAGACCCGCCATTTTTTGTGTACAAGAAATCATGCTCAAAAACCCAATCACGCTTAGAAATTTCTCACTCTACACTAACATTCCAACTGTAGTTAGCAGAGCAGCACGTGGCGCAGCGGTAGCTGTCCATAAAAATATTCCTCACAGAATGATCAAGTTAAACACAAATTTACAGGCTGTTGCTGTCTGTGCAACATTACACAGGCAAATAACCGTCTGTTCAATTTATCTCCCTCCGAGTATTGTTTTCACTTGTGAGCAACTCAATAATCTCGTCTCCCAGCTCCCAACACCATTCATAATCCTCGGTGATTTTAATGGTCATAATAGCCTGTGGGGCTCTCCCAACACAGACGAGAGAGGAAGACGTATTGAGGAATTTATAGATAAAAACAACTTGTGCCTTTTTAACAACAATACCCCTACTTATTTACACCCTGCTACAGGCTCTCGTACCCACATTGATCTATCATTATGCCATCCATCCATTTTACTTGACTATGACTGGAGGGTAAATGATGATCTTTGTGGGAGTGACCACTTCCCAATTTTTCTTCAGAATATTGGGACTCCTCTTGATGATCCTCTACCTCGATGGAATATGCACAAAGCAGATTGGGCCCAATTCCAACACATGTGCATTGAAAAACTAACCATAGACAATTTTACTAACCTCGACGACCCTATCAAAACTTTTACTGAAACACTCACTTCTATTGCCCAAAAGACAATTCCAAAATCCGCTCCAAAACCTACGAAGTTCCTTTTATCTGAAGAATCTTTTAAAACACGCAGTAATCGGGCAGCTGCTCTAAGACGCTACTTCAATTGCCCAACTGCTTCAAACTACAGTGAATTTAAAATTTGGCGGGCAAAGGCTCGGCGATCAATTAAAATTGACAAAAGAAACAGCTGGAGAGAATATGTATCCAAGATATCATCAAACACGTCCTCAAAAAAAGTATGGGATATGATTCGGAAAATAAGTGGGAAAAAGAAAAAGGCAACATCCTCCCACCTCATTAATAAAAACAAAATTTTCTCGTCTATAACTGAAATTGCTGATGCATTTGCAAAAAACATAGCTAAAAACTCATCCCCTTTAAACCACTCCCAAAAATTCCAGTCTTTGAAAAAAAAGAGAGAAAAGAAACGGCTCAATTTCAAATCATCAAACAAAGAAAGTTATAATGAACAATTTACCCTACCAGAACTTGTTGATTCGCTTAGAAAATCACAGGACACTGCTTCAGGTCCTGATGATATTCCATATCAATTTCTAAAGCACTTACCGGACTCTTCACTAACATGCCTTCTTTACATATTCAACCAAGTTTACGCTTCCGGAAAGATTCCCGATTCGTGGAAGAACTCCACAATTATACCTATCCCAAAACCGGGAAAGGATGCTACTGACCCAAACAACTATCGTCCTATCTCTCTGACTAGTTGTGTATGTAAAACTTTAGAACGAATGATAAACACTAGACTGGTTTGGTTTCTTGAGGCCAACGATATAATATCCCCTCTTCAAAGTGGCTTTAGAAATAGAAGAGGGACAAATGACCATCTCATCAGATTAGAGACGTTCATTCGAGAGGCTTTCGCCAAGAAAGAACACCTTGTCGCTGTGTTCTTCGATCTTGAGAAGGCCTATGATACTACATGGCAGTATGGCATCATGAAAGATCTTCACGACCTTGGCGTACGTGGAAACCTTCCCAATTTTATATCTAATTACCTATCAGATAGACACTTCAAAGTCCGTGTTGGTTCAACTTTTTCTGAAACGTCTAAACAGGAAATGGGAGTCCCACAGGGTGGAATCCTATCAGTCACACTGTTTGGTCTTAAAATCAATGATATAGTCAAATGTCTTGGTCAATCAACAGAAGGGTCGTTATTTGTGGATGACTTCTTGATCTGTTACAGATCTAAGAACATGCACACGATAGAACGACAACTTCAACAGAGTTTAAACAAACTACAAAATTGGGCAGACGAAAACGGCTTCAAATTCTCTAAATCCAAAACTGTGTGCATGCATTTCTGTCAAAAACGAAAAGCACACAATGACCCAAATCTAACACTCGATGGCACTAGAATTCCTGTTGTTGAACAGACTAAATTTCTCGGCCTCATTTTTGATTCGAAACTCTCTTTCATACCACATATAAAGTATCTGAAGGATAAGTGTTCCAAGGCGTTAAACATTATACGAGTCCTTTCTCATACTGATTGGGGAGCGGATCGTGAAATGCTTTTGCGCCTATACAGATCACTTATTCGAACAAAACTGGATTATGGTTCTATGGTATACGGGTCAGCGCGCAGTTCGTACCTTCAGATGCTAGATCCAATCCATAACCAAGGGCTACGTCTTGCCCTGGGAGCTTTTCGAACAACACCTGTAAAAAGCCTGTACGTGGAAGCAAATGAACCATCCCTTTATGACAGAAGAATAAAACTTTCATTACAATTTGCAACTCAATTAAAATCAAACCCTAAAAATCCTGCTTTCAACCAAGTATTCAACCCCAAATACCAAAACATATTTACGCAAAACCAAAAACTTCTGCCAACATTTGGTATCCGAATTTTGAATTTCCTGCAAGAACTCAACATAAAATTGACGGACATAGCTGAATTTAACATATCTGATGTTCCTCCGTGGACCATTCAAACCCCCGATTTTAACTTTACATTACATGAGCGAGGGAAATCAAGTGTTATGCCCGAAGAACACAAATCCTCCTTTCGGGAATGCATTTCGAATTACCCTTCTCATACACAACTTTACACCGATGGCTCCAAAGAAGGTGAGAAAGTGGCAGCAGCCTGCTGTACTGCCAATACTTGCACTTCAGTCCGACTACCAGACGGCGCCTCCATCTTTTCTGCTGAAGCATGCGCCATTGGTTTGGCCCTCGACCATATCGATGAACACCGCATTAAAAAGGCAATTATTTGTTCAGACTCTCTATCTGTCCTACAGAGTTTACAGTTACGAGATCCTAAAAACACAATCGTACAAAACCTTGCTCATCGAATATCTCGTATATTAAAAAAGTCTAAAATAACTTTACTATGGATTCCGAGCCATGTCGGAATAAAAGGCAACGAATTTGCTGACAGGGAAGCAAAAAATGCATTGAATCTCGAACAAACAAATATCAAACTACCATACACAGATTTTAAACCTACTATTCGTACAGCCATTCAAAATGAATGGCAGAAACGCTGGTCTCTGGAGACCAACAACAAACTTTTTAAGATACAACCGAAACTTAAAACATCTATTCCCAGTCGGAAAGATCGTAGAGAGGAAGTTGTCCTCGCTCGGCTCCGCACTGGGCACACATATCCTACTCATTCGTACCTTTTAAAACGAGAAGATATACCTTCATGCCACGCATGTGACACTCCATTTACAGTGGAGCATTTTTTAATAGAATGTTCCGATTTTAAACACATTCGTGATAACTACTTCCGAGTCCCGGATATGAAAACACTTTTCAGTTCCGTGGATTCGAAGGCATTATTTAACTATTTGAAAGACATCGGTCTATTTTATAGACTCTGATGTCTTTTAACCCACCTTATCATTTTTGACGTTATATATATATCGCATATTCCATATCATCTATTCGTTATCTCTTTTATTATTTTAACCCCCTTTTATTATTTTTTATTATCTACACATACAATGCGAATACTTTTAAACTGAACCATTTTATCTGATTTTATCTTCGCTATTCACATGTTTGTTAAAAAAGTAAAATAAATAAATAAATCACCATGGCCCTAAATGACCACAGCCGTCGATGGGCCGTTAAACATAAACAAACAAACAAACAAAAACAAACAAACTGAGGATTTACCACGGCCCGGCCATTCCAGAGGAATGCACAAAGGGCTGGCCCGAAGGCGGACACCTGTATACCAAACCCCCATGAAGGAATGCACAACGGTGCAAATCTAGCATTTGCGTCCCGGCCAAAGGACGGTGTTGCTTGGTCTACCATGCCGAAACTGCCCATCATATTCAAAACAACAATATTTTGCCACGAAAAAACAAAGGTGGCTATCCATATACAGCTGATACCACCACAAGGGATCATTGCCTTTTGTTGTTCAGTATGATGTTGTTTTAACACAATATTGGAAATAAATGCATCCGCTATTTCTATTTGTCATATGAAGGTCGATGTGTTTGATTTTGCGCAAATCTTTAGAATGCCGTTTTGTTTTATTGTCACTACCCGGGTTTCGATTAGAGGATGTGACATCCTCTAATCAAAACCCGGGTAGTGACATTACTTAGATTTGAGCTAGATTAACTTGTGCGGCGTCGTCGATATGCAGAATACGCTTACCCCTCAGGAACACTTGGTCTTCTTTTCCTTGCACTTTTTATAGGTTTCCATATTTTGCCCCAGTTTTATCGATTTTGACCATTACAGTTAGAATTACGGCTAAGTATCCACTTTTTCTGGACGAACGCAGGACGCACGCTGAACGAACAGAGAAAAGACGCTAATGATCGCAGGACGAACTCAGTACGAACGCGTAGCTACCGATTTGACCGGTATTTCCGATTGGGCCTAACGCTGCAAGAACGGCCGCTTCTCGAACGGAGCGAGGTTATCGCCCCGCTAACTGCCGATAGACTGATACCTGGCCGCTATCGACCGTTAAACTGATCAAACGATCGAACTATACAGCCGCTTTCACGGGACGATACTAGATATACTAGTGGTACTCGTCTGCTGGATAACCAAATTACTCCTAGTGAAGCGAACGTAAAACTACTCCAAAAAAATAAGAACAAATAAAAAACAAACGGTACTAATGCCGCGATACATCTTGTTACCTACCCAGAAGATATATATTTTTTAAGTCCTTAACTAAACTTATATAAAGCCGTGCTATATCATGGTATTAGATAAGAGGACAATATTTGCATTGATCATCATGAAATAATGAACACATTATCGAAAGAACTTTCGCCGAAGGAGATAAAGTGTTGTTTGGTTTTTTTGTGAAGAAATTATTCGGTCCAAAAAGCGTAGTTATCCGAGATTGAAATAGTTCATGATGTTCAGTGAAAAAAAATCGCCTTTTCGTAAAATTAAAAAAAATATCTTTGACTTATTGATCGTTTTTTATATTATTTCATCATTTTATAGCATTAATCATACCATGTAATAATCAACACAGCATTTAAAGATCTTCCGCGGCTTCCAGGTTTGGCGAGGACCGTTATAAATGCTGTAAACAGCATCCAAAAATCAGCTTTTTATTTCATTTGAAATTTTACACACAATAAGTAGAATGTACAGGCAGGGCTTTAAGTTGATCCTCGAGAAGTATTTTTGTCCCTCCAAAAATTCATCGTTAGAACTTCGGCTTTAGTTGAATGAACATGTCAATTTAATATGTTTTTGACCCTCCAAAGCTCATGGAAAATGTTATTTGACTAATAAAAAGGTTCCACTTAGCCCTGTTCGTTGTATATATAAAAAAAAAACAAGGACAAGTATTGCAAGGAAATCAATAGTCCCCCACCGGTAATGATTTCTATATTTAACAGTACACTTATGTCTGGATATATTCTGTTAGGAAAGTATCCTGAAAATACATACTTCTTGCACTCCACCATTCCGATATGTCCTTGTACACCTACTCTGGTTACTCAATGTGAAAAAGTATAGAAAATATGCGTGGACCAACTTTTGCAAAAGTTAAGGTCAAAGGTCAAGACATATGTCACAGTGACCTAATTATTGCACTCTGCACTGCGCCATCCCAAAATGTCCTTGTACATCAAATCTGAATACTCAACATAAAATTGTATAGAAGATATGCCCGGACAAACATTTTCAAAAGTGAAGGTCAAAAGTCAAGTCATAGGACACAGTGACCTAGTTCTTGCACTCTGCGCCCTGCCATCCCAAGATGTCATTTTACACCAAATCTGGTTACTCCGGGTGAAAAAGTATATAAGATATTCCTGCTGACAGCACCACTAGCTCTGTTGTACTACAGGTACCAAGCCCACTGTTAAAGCTACAACCTTCTGTATTATTTCACCTCGAGTATCCAGATTTGGTGAACAATGACATATTGGGATGGCAGGGTATAGAGTGCAAGAGAAAGGTCACTTTGATCTCACTGTGACCTATGGTTTGATATTTGACATTAATTTTTGAAAAAGTTTGGAACAATAGTGGTGGAGCTGTCCCTGGACCAGCAAGTTTTATTTTGATGAGCTGAAAAAGATCAAAATGTTGCATTCAAATTGTACTGGTGCCTAATAATTAGAATACCTCAGATTAGTTACATAGTTATATATTATGTAGTTGTTTGTATCAATAATTGATGTTTAAGTTTAGAACAATTTGGGAAAATAATAATATTTGCTGAATCTGTTAAAATTCTAAACAAGCCATAATAGACTTTAATATTTGTCATTTGGTAAATTACGGTTAGGAGTGGGACCAGAAAAATGATCTGGGGGGTGCTTATTATGTCAAATGTTTTGATTACAGCAAAGATGTTAAACATATCAAATAGACATGTCCTTTCAGATCGCAGGATCAAATCTCAATTTATGGACTCAAAAGTGTCTCATAATTATTGAATAATGACAAATGTTGAATTGAATAATGATCAAATAAAATTCAAAATTTCAATGAACTATTTTGTTCATTTTTGGGAAAGTCAGGTTTAGACAGGACCACTCCCGATTAAAATTTGTCAAAATTCTGATCAAGATCCTGTGATTCATGGCGGAAAATTCACAAATTTATGAAAACATTTATTTAATCACGACAACAATCAGATATTGTTCAGGAAGCGTCCTGATTCAGCCGTTCCCAGACGAACTCGTCCCGATTCTCCCGTTCTCAATCCGAATCTGATTCGATTTGTATTTTCCGCATGGTGAAAAACGACCGAATCTGTCCCGACATCGTCCCGATTCTCCCGAACGCGATCCGACACAGATCAGACAGTGACCGGACAGTGAACCGACGCATTCGGCAAGATCTGGACGCCATCTGGACTTAATCGGCAAGAAACGGCAATGAAAAATGTCTCCAAATCTTGCCCGTTCATCACGACAGCGTCCCGATCCACACGACACCGTCAAGACACCGTCCAGGATATTGTTACGATTTTGTGGCTACGGACCACTGACACAAACGGTACAAACGTCTCTATCATGTAAACACGTCTCTATCTGCTGGCCTTAAGTGTGATACCAATTAGTGTCAATTATTCCACACCTTTTGAAGGGTGGCGGGGGAGGGGTTCATAAGGTTCGGTGCGCACAACAAATGGATCTTGGTGTGGCCTACGGTATATTTTAAATCAAGGGGATTAATAAATTAATATGTGGTAAATTGATTCCATAATCCAGTTAACTGTAAAATTAAAGAGCTTACAAATATATTATGCAAGAATTTCTTACATTTTTATGCATATTTTCTCGATCGCATGATATATATTGATGTAATTTGATCTTATATAATGCATTTTGATATATCAGATAGCAAATACATGAAACGAGAGAAGCTTTTTTAAATGTTGCTGTATTCTGAACTACGGATAGTTTTACGAATATTTTTTGTTTGTTAAAATGTTATAATTTAACCTGTAATTAGGCATACACAATATATATAGTCTTCCCTCCCCTCCGGGAGGTTTTTGCTTTATACAGCTGTCAAACCGAAAAAAACTAGTGCCTGGTTTGCCGCTGGAGCGAGGGAAAGACGATGAGAGGAAGGTGATATATTAAAACAGAGACATATATTACAATATGCGTCTCTGATTAAAACGATATATATTTGCATATATAACAATAATACTGTATATGTCTCTGATCAGCGACACCATTGTTAGTCGTAGGTATCGGCTGATCGATCCAAACGGATGACTGCCGACAGCAGGTAGTATTATCAGCAGTCATTCGTGACGATGGGGCAGCGATCGATAGGTCATGACAAGCATGTGAAGTCGGCAGATTTAAAACGGCTGTCAAAAACCGACTGGAAAAGCCAATCGATACGATTCGACCGCTAAAGCCGATCGATATGGATTCGATCGCTAAAGCCAATCCAGCCGAAAAACACGATCGCAAAACGGACGATGACCAGCCGCGAACCGAACCCTGCTCGAACGCAGGACGCACGCTAACCTAACGGAGGGCGAACTATTCCCAAGTGGATACTTGGGCGTAATTCTAACTGTATGTATGGTTTTGTTAACAATTCGGTAAACTCTTCTTTATCTAATTGCCATATCTTCCCATTAATTAATAAGATACAACAATGCCAGTCTGCATTTACTTGCTATATACAATTTATATTCGCTTACACTCCCAAAATTACGAGTTGATGAAGTTTTCCATTATTCGCTGTTCCAGGTTTGTTAATCTAGTAAAAGACAAGGACCTAATTGTTGTTGTTTTTTAAACTTGGGTTCCTTCTGTTTACACATATGTGTACAACAAAAAATGTAATAATTAAAACTAGATAATAAAATGTGCATAGCTTTGTTAGAAAATTCTAGAAGTAACATTTCACAATAACGGCAACCCGACTGTACAGACTACAAAACAACACTATTGTCATGTATTGGGGGTCATAGAACAGTTGACAAAACGCTGCTGCTGACTTCCATGTGTTTTATTGCATCTCCAAAAACACATCTGTAACCCGGATCAGGGTATACCAAAATTACAAAATAAAACAAACGGTGGTGTTACGCACTTGAATCGCTTACCTCCCTTCCCACAGTTGTATATCTACATTATCCATTTGTATTGCATGTCTATAACACTATGACGTTATTTGCAGGTCAATTTGGTCCAATCCGTTTCAACACAGCGGTGTTTATAGGGTTTGTGAGTTCCTATCTGTCGTCAAATGTGGAGTCCATTGGGGATTACATGGCCATCTCCAGGGCAACGGGAACCTTCCCTCCACCTCGTCACGCAATCAACCGGGGCATACTGACAGAGGGAATCATGGGGGTGGTGGCAGGGGCCCTAGGGACCGGGCACGCTACTACTTCATACAGTCAAAACGTGGTTGTCATCAGGCTAACGCAGGTAAATGGGAACAATAACATAAAGACAAACCTAACTTAGTATGCAAATGTTTTAGATGTTTTAATGCGATCTAATACAAATAAAAGCAAAGAATTTCATTAAAACGTTTCCTCTGTACGACTATGGCATTGATAGATAAATGCTGAAGAAAAAAAAATCATAATTACGGAAATATTTGATGCAAATAAACGGCAACGTCCGAGTATAAAAGTCCACGGGGCCTAAGACGTTTTGTTCGGGATTTGAAGCCCGTACATCGTATTTCTGAAACGTCCCTTTCACACATGAACGGTAAAACCAACACCCATTCGTGCTACAAAAATGTATTCCACTTTAAAAAGTAAAACTTCATTTCCAGAAAGTTACACAGGAATATTTAGAGTTATGCCTGCAGGGGAATAGGAGTCCTGAATGTGACAAAGAAAAAATTAAAAAAACGTGTAAAATATGCTTAAACTATCGCTATTGTAAACCTACCAAGCATTTGTCAATACTTTCAAATAGGTTGCTAGTCGGAGTGTAATGGTTCTGGCCGGCGTCATGTGCATGGTCTTCGGAATCATCGGAAAGCTTGGCGCAGTGATGGCGTCAGTTCCGGATCCGGTTATTGGAGGTGTTTCCATAGTCACTTTTGGCTTGCTGGTATCCATAGGGTTGTCATCGCTACAGACGGTAAACCTGTCATCCACTCGGAACCTTTCGGTACTTGGTACATCCCTTTATGTAGGCTTGGTCACTTCCGAATGGCTGAAACTCAACAAAGACAGCATCAATACAGGTACGTCCGTTGTGAATTTCCCTGAACTCGCTCGATGACAGAAACACTATACGGCTGTTTCATTACTTTGTGGGTTATAATTCCTGTCTGTTGTTTGTATACAGGTTATGCCTCCTTAGATCAGGTACTAAAGCTGATCCTCGGGACTCAGATGTTTGTGGCTGGACTTACGTCCATTATCTTGGATAACACTGTTAGAGGTAGGTAAAACAATGTATATGTTATTGTTAGTATTCCACGTGGTCCTATGCTAATCATAATATGGGTATTAATCACAACTATTCATTAATATGGTGTCATTCAATGACGTATGTTTAAGAAATAATAGAAATGAACCGATCTTTCCTTTGAAGTTTGTTTCTTGCCTCTCTGTTGTTATCTTGATCTTCATTTTGCATGATGTAAAGTTATTTATCTTTGAAATAATTCATTTTGCCATGTTGCTAATAATCTAACGTTGGAAAAGTACAACATACGCAACGAAGCTTATATCTTGTGCCCTAGCCCGCTGGTTAGTAATGTATCCATAAACAAAAATCCATTGTATTAGTGTATACATTTCGATGACGTCACGTTGTTGACAGCGTTCGAGGTTTTGTCATGTATGTCGGCTGTATTAGGTATATTTCGACGCGCGTGTGCAATTTATAATATTGAATCTAAAGTGGCGATGTTGATAATGCACCATGCAGGTGAGGGATCGGGAAAAGAATACACACGCTGTTACCCACAGCATGTATCGTAGGAGGCGAATACTGTTGGAACACCCTGCAGACTTGGGGATTTGCTTTCGTGTCCTCTATTTGGGGACACAAAAGCGACTAACAGATATCAGCTGCTCCGATCGCAATATTTAGGATCTTTATCTTTCTTTCTACTTCTACCTTTTATATCCTAACGCCTTGCTTGGCGACACCTCCTTTTTGGCTTGAAGGTTGAGGTGAGGAAGGCAACGGGTTCTGTCCCCAGGGCGGGACATACCAAAGTCCTTAAAAATCGTAGTTGGTATTCCCTGCTTAACGTTCAGCATTAACGAGAATGGAAACAACTGGTCACCTGTTGTCAGTATAATGTGACCGGGCGAAAAGCTGTGCTTGGGGCCTTCGGCATGGTATTTCAGTGAGATAGCGCTATAAAGTTGGCATCAGATCTGCGCTTTTACAAGGAGGCAAGCACACCGACATACCCTGTCTCCTGCATACACACATATAGGCACGTCCTTAAACGACCTTAGCTGTTAATATGACGTTAAACAAAATTAAACCAAACCAAATGTTGATAATGTCTAGCAAAACTTAATATCTTAACATTGTACGACTTAGCTATTCATGTAAGTGCTTAAATCATGTTATGGATTTAATTGTTATCAGTCATTCATGTCCATAAAGCATTCTTCAATATTAGTTGTCATCATATTATTGCACAAACCTGTCTGCTGCCCATGCATATATTTCGATGATATTTGTCAAAACACCGCTTACAATATATATTCACAATTTATACCATGTAATCACTGAACCTAATCTCATATTTGCCTATATATGTAATTTTCACACTTTTAAATTCACTGCGAAATATTACTATTATACTGTTAAATACATGTTAAATGATTGGATTGTGCTTGGATAGTTTTGGTGAAGTGGTGAATAGTCTCGTCAGACAAATCCAACATGAAATGCAAATCCAATCCAAAAAGCATTAACCTGTGAAATTATATATATATCTTCCCGTTGATACCGAAACTTGAGCAAATCTATGAAATATATTCAATCATTGGAGGACCATAATACGGCGATATAATGTAAGCTGATAATTCAATTCAACAATATTGTGATACAATGAAGACGACAAACAAATTATGAATGTTATATTAAATAGAATTTGATTCAACCTTAAAATATGTTTTTATACGAAAATGTAACGTAAATCTGGTCAATTTCGTTGGAAAATTAAAATGAACAAGATTTGGTAGTTTCAATTCGTCCAACTTAAGAAGAAATTGAAATGTTTTACCTTGATTTCTTTACCTTGATTTCTTTACCTTGATATCTTTACCTTGATATCTTTACCTTGATTTCTTTACCTTGATTTCTTTACCTTGATATCTTTACCTTGATATCTTTACCTTGATATCTTTACCTTGATTTCTTTACCTTGATATCTTTACCTTGATATCTTTACCTTGATATCTTTACCTTGATTTCTTATCTGATTAATGTATGACATTGTTTTACCCTTTTATTTGTTCTTCCGGAAATGATTCACTGAATTTTTAAGTATGCATATTTATAAAATGTCAATTTAATTTTAAGTCAAAATGTCCATCTCATTGATCCGAAGCACAATCTCATAACCGGAACTAGATGTTTTGTTGAATATGATATATTTATTGTAGGAACAAAAGAAGAGAGAGGAATGGATGATAGGTCATCTGTCAAAACCGAAAGCGGAAGTCAGATTGACAAACACCAGTCTGTGTATGATCTTCCGGGAATTCCACAATTACAGAGGAGAATCCCTCTTCTTCGGCATATTCCATTCTTTCAACCATACACACCTCACTGATGTATGACGAAAAACCTTTTTACAAGTTGAAACGTGGTTTATTAAATATTAGCTATATCATTAAAACAAGAGAGTATGGCAAAACCAGAATATTCAGTGTTATTTTGCACGAGGAACAGAAAATAAGTGTAGAAAATAACCTTACTTAACTCGGCTAGTGGTAACTCGCTCTAGTACCGCCGAAAAGCTTCTGACTAGAAAGCCTGCGAGCGCGAGTTCGAGCCCTAGCGAAGGCACTTTTTTTCCTATTACACAATATTAACTTCATGCTACCCGTCTTTAAGTCAACGCTTCGGTGATCGGGTGGCGCCGTAAATAACACCAAGGCGACCGGGGTTCGATTCCCCAATCGGACGTAAAAATATATGGGATCAACTGCCCGACCACTTGGGTTTTCTCAAGGTACTCCGGTTTCCTTCCACAATAAGAACCCAAACGCACTAAGATCCGGGCCAAAAAGAGTGATAAGTATAAGTTGAAATAACTTGTTCTATAGTTGTTGTAAAATTCAGCAAAAAAAAGCAAAATTTAAAAGTTTAAAGTTCAAATCACAGGAAGTGACATTCGGTTAGACCATAGTTATATGAAGACATATGGATTTGTTCTGCGTCTCCAATGACTAATGTACAGCTTCACACTAAGGAAAAAGAAAAATATAAATGTTACCTATAATTTCAAATAACGAAAGTTTGTATGATGTTGTTATTTGTTTGGGATTTAACGTCCTAGCAGCCAGGGTCGTATAAGAAGTGGTGCCAGGGGGACACCGCCTGAAGCACAGCAGAGAGAAAAGTAAGAAGACAGAAAAAATAGGGAACGAAAGAGATCCAAAGTGTTGAAATGGGGACAGCAGATCATTTTTTGTCTCTTCCATGTCCCCTTCGTAGATATTTTTTGTGAATGGTGTACGGAATCGAGAGACTTCTACTTGCAAGTTGAATGTGAATTTCAGTACACCGATAATGCTATGGAAGACTGCTCCAGGTACATGGGCAACCCAAAAGTTTATTTTATTTAATTACTTCCAGGATGTGTTGAATCTACAGTTTCCTTTATACAATCAAGAATTAACAGCTTAGAATCCAAAATGAAAGCCATATGCAAATCGATATTTCTTGTGAAAACTACACTTTGCATGACAAGTATGCAGAAAATAACACCTAATAACTAAATTCCTGTCCACAACACTAATACATTTCTTAACTGATTGATGTCCAAGGTATTGTTGGGTTTTTTTTCCAAAAAAGTCGAAAAACTACTTCATGATCAGCGTCTGTATCATTTTTTCAGATTATCGGTTAAGGATATAATATGAACCGTCTCGTTTGCATTCGTTTCTGAACAACGACGACACCCAGCACAGCATTCTGCCTGGTCATAATTTACTGACAACGAGTGAACCAGTAGTTACCGTTACCCTAAATGCTGAACGCTAAGCAGGGAATAACAACTACCATTATTAAGGACTTTGGTATGACCCGGCCTTGCCTTCTTCATCTGTGCTAATGTTCAACTTTAAGCTAAAAGTGAGGTGTTGCCAAGCAAGGCGCTAGGAAATAAAAGGTGGTTAGCAGTGGAAAAAAAGGAAAATTCAAAATATTGCAATAGGTGCAGCATATTGTATTTGGTCGCTTTTTCATTTGTTGTCACGGAGAAAGTGGGCGGGGTTTAGCTGTCTGTCAACGGCTTTTGCGAATGGCTGCTTCGCATGGATTAACATGACGTCAAAATAATTTTGAACGCAGATTACACAAGGTAGATGCTTGTATCCGACCCTTTTAATGATGTTATTGTTAAAAGAAATATTGTAAATATTAAGTATTTACAATACTCGGTAAGTTGCTCGTGACGCTTCGCGTTTACGCAATTTACCTCGTGCTCCATTGGATTTATTATCTCATAAACTAAACAAATCAAAAGGTTATTCCTTAACAAACAACAATGGCCCCGAAATTGGGGAACCCCGGCTTTTATAGCAGCGATATCAGATTGAATGCCATCACTTACAGTCCTTTGTTTCGTGTACAATTTTAGTGGAAAACCTTGCATGCATAACTTATTCAATTTGTACAGTAAGTATGAATGCCAAACTCTATCGAACGTCTTACAGATGGTACAAAAAATCTAATTTCTTTTCCTGAATCAAGTGCATTACCTGTGATTAATATATTGTCTATTCCTGTGGTATACTCGAGATATATTGAATGTTCAAGTGTTTGCCATAAAAGCAGCTGCGTTTGGTGGTCTGTATATCGTAAAAAGTATGAATGAACATGTAGTCCTAATTTCTATCCAAATACTCTCTACACTGTTTCTCTCTACGTTATTTCTTCTCTGAGCATATATTTTGTTGGAAACTTATGTGTATACCCCTCCACCTATGGTGCCTATATGAAAAAGGGAATTTATAGCCGAGAAGTTCAATATCGGTATTTATGTTGTCATTAGATAACTAAGTTTTGGTGAAAGCAAAAATGCTATGAACGCTATGTTGCAGATCTGTCGTTGGTAGAATGCTTTGTAGATTTAAGTGAAGGAATAATAGCTTGTCAAATCCGTAAATGTGACGTTAGATTGGACAGTATTGGTAGTTTTCAAGGAATCATTGGATAGACTGGAGGTGGAAGGAAACGAATCTTTTCCATATCGCCAGCTTGATAGAGTAGAACTGGAACAACTGAAAAACATATTAATAACATTCCAGTTAGGATTGAAAGAGGCATAAAAACAAAAATACATTTGGGGTTTTCAAAACAACCACGGTATTATATCTCGGCAATTCTTTTTGAAAAAACAAATAACAACAACACGGCAGCAGTTACAGACACAACACAATAATAACAAACGCGTACATGTCAGTTGATGAGTTTATAATTGGATCTTAAGGCGAGTTTGCATAATCATAATAAACACTAGTACTTGCATACTACGATATATTATCCAATGGCATCAGGTCATACCTTTCGCTTATACACAGTATGCAAGAGAATGATCTTTAAGTGATCATTAAGTATTTATCGCAAAATACATAAGGATCCCATGTCCCAATCATATTTTAAAATGTTAAATCAAATAAAAAGAGCTTGTGCATATTATGCAAAACAAATGTTAGAAAAGTAATATCGAAAAAAGCATGTTTGAACAGAAAGCATGAGCAAATTCAACCAGACTCTTGTTGTGTGCGTAAGCTACGCCGAACAGGGAGTCCGGTCAAAGTCTACGATATCGTTTCGTTAAGTCAGAACGAGGCTTACCAGTAACATGATAAATTATTTCATACTTTTGATGATGGCTGCGCCCAGTTTTGCAGATGACCTGATCAGGAGGGACTGCGTCTTCTTAGAATGTTTGTAGTGTCGTTTATCCTACCAGTCAGTCTGTAGCATGCTTTACACAGATAACATACGGAATTTTTAGTACATTTAAACAAAACCTGATAAAAATTACTGGCTTATTCTAATGACAGACCTTTTTCGCCGTTGTGGATTTTAATATGTCAAAATATTGTATTAATGGCGTTGACATAAAAGTAAACCACTGCCCTCTGGTGATAATAACTTTCAAGTACTGTTTATGACTCTTGAGTTACTTAGTAATTTAGCGTCCGAAAGTATATGGTTGAACAAGACTATTATATTGAACGATATGTAGTTTACAGACTTTGTCGTTTTTGCATCAGGAACATCAAGAACAGGTTGGAAAAAATTGAACCTGGGAATGTTGACCCTTTCGATGTTTTTGATGAAAATTTCAACATAAAATAGGTCAAATTAAATAGTTCTTTTAATTAATAAACTCTGTAAACTAAGTACCATACCTATATACATATAAAGTTTAAAAGAAATCAATGAACCTTTAGTTCTCGTCCTGTCATTTTCATCAAGTTCAAACTATGCACAAGTGAGTTGATGCAATGGTTTCTTTTCTCCTTGTTTATTTCAATGTTGATATCTCCATCAACTTATGTCACAATGTTACATGGATAAAACATTCAAATAAAAAGAGGGATAGGGTCCCACTCAAAATTGATGTAATAATAATCATTTCAGATATAAAACTGAACGTCAATTGTATTACTCATTAGCAATCCCTGATTTTTAGTTTGATTTAAAGAAGAGTAAATCTGAGGAGCACATGATTCAAATGCGTCTTTGATTGTGCGAGATAGTTGCGAATTTAGGTAAAATACTTGTGTGCAGCGTTAAATAACATTTTTCTAGATTTTTGGGATTGGATTCGTGAATGTTTACATTTTTGGATTCACTTTATCGTTCTTTTTGTCAAAAGATCCCCCTCCCCAAACCTCACACTCACATTCAATCAATAGAGTAGTATGTAAACAAATGTGTTGACACAAAGGTAAGTAGACAAATGCTACATATAATCCCGTTGAATCTCGGTTTATGAAAACAATATTTAGTACGTTCCATGTTTACTTCACTCTGAAATGATTTTTTGCCTAAGATAACATATAGACACTGGCTGGTTTATGGACATTACAATAAAACAGGCGTAACTTTCTAACTTAACATGGATATTATACACACAATTTACAATGGACACAATAACACTGGTGATGGAAGAGTAAGAAGTAAATGTGACGTAATACAATTAATAACATCATCTAAATAACGCGCAGACAAATATTTACAATCTAAAGCAGGGATTGGCAGATCATAGGCAACACGGAACACGGTCAAAGGAAACGCCTATTTGAACAATTGTTTTTGGGTAAAGAAAGCCAAATAAAGGAATCCATTTACTATATCATATGGCCGTTGCATCCTTTACAGTCTTATGTGTGGTGCTTAGCGTCAAAATGATGGATTTCTATTTATCGCACCTCAGACATCCCACGTCATACCCCATGCTACATTTTTCTATCTCTTCCGATCTGTTCAACAATTTGCATTATAAATGTTATGTTTTGTCGTTATATGTATATTTTTGATGGTGTTAGATATATGATGTTGTAGATAAAATATACTCTACACTGTGAAATACTTTGTAATCTATTTAAGGACGGTCTACATTTTTACGCGGAAGCATTCAAAATTAGATTAAGAAGTGAAGAGGTCATTATCATTTGAGGCACAAGGCGGGATACTTCTAGCTTTTAGAAAAATTGAATAGTTCTTTTCGAGCTAAAAGTTGCGAAAAAAAATCAATAACCTGTATCTGAGCAAGTTTAAAATAGCATTTTACTGACTGACTTTCACTAGGTCTTAGATAACTGAACTTTTATAACATTGTCCTGAACTTACTAGTTCTTAGATATCTGTCCTTTTGTAAAAATAACCTGAATTCACTACTACTCGGGCTAAGATTCTGTAACATCCAAACCTTTGCTACCGCCTCTGTTGAGATTTTCTTACAGAATTTTAACCCTCGACCGAGATAACCCGATCTCGCTCAGAGATAGGTAAAATAGTTTACTCGTCTAAAGAAAATGGCGTCGATGGTTAGAGACGTGCTTACGACGGCACTGCTATTTTTAGTTATTTTAAGTCGTTTCTATCCACCAACTCACATATTTTTAACGGAAATACATCCAGTGAACATCTCGGCGTACCAAATAAGTGAAAAAAGGGAACCTTCATCCCTCGGAGGAGAAAAACTGGTACTTTATAAACTTTCCGTGAACTCGGCTAACGTGAGTACTACTCATCATATAACTTTATCTACGCCCCGTCAAAATCCAACCACAAACATTTATCGTGAAGCAAACACATTCTTAATACTGTCAATTTTACTATCTGGTGATGTATCGACTAATACTAGACCCATTAGATATCCTTGTGGAACTTGCACGAAATCCGTACATTCAAACCAGCAAGCCATTTTATGCGAGTGTTGTGAAGTATCACAGGAAATGTCTAGACATGCCAGAGCGTGAATATATTAGTCTGAGTAATTCACCACTGGTACTGCTTTAAGTGTTTGTTGCCCCCTTTTACAGACTCATTTTTTAATGACAGTGATGCACATGACTCTGATGCAATCCACATAATAAGTGATGATACGCAGAGTACTCTCCCCTTTTATAGCTCTCCACGCTCGGAGGCGAGTTCTGTAAGCCATGTAAACAACTCATCGGACGAGGATCCGGATGGCAACAACAGCTGTCATGGCTTGAAGAAGGTGAGAGAGACATGAAAGAAAAACATTATTGTGTGTTACATAAACATAAATAGCATAAGAAACAAATCTTCAGAACTTTGTTCCATTTTGTATGAAGGATTGTGTGATATTTTATTTATTGGTGAGTCTAAACTAGATGACACTTTTAGACAGTCGTGTTTCGATGTGCCGGGTTTTCGGTGCTTCAGGAACGACCGAAATGCACACGGATGTGGACTCCGTTCTGACCTCCCTTCGCGTAGACGCGATGATCTGGAGTTAGAAGATGTTGAATCCATTGCTATTGAGTGGTCCATACAGAAGAGGAAGTGGGCTTTCATTGGCACGTATAAACCCCCATCTATGCACGATAATTTCTTTATGAACGATGCCACTTTATCTATTGATCGTGTGTCTACAAAATATGACAATGTTATGATTTAAGGTGACTTGAACTTTGATTTTCATAATGAAAGTACGGGTAAAACTCTTTCTGACTTCTGTGATATGCTTGACCTCACTAACAAAATTACAGGAGCTATATTTTTTATGAAGGGTTGCATTCCTTCATTAGTTGATTGCCCTAGTCTTTGTTTTAAGCCTATCAATTTTAACTGTGGTCTAAGTGACTGTCATAATTTTATTGGAATTGTTATAAAAGGCACAGCACCTTGCTTGCCTAGGGTAAAAGGTAAATTCCGTAGTTTTAAAAACTTTGAACAGAATAATTTTAACTCTGACTTATCAAATGTTCCTTTTTATGTTGCATATGTGTTTGATGATACTGAGGATATTTACTGGACTCATGATAAATTAATAAGAGAAGAAATTAATAAGAGAAGTTGTTGATGTACATTTACCTGTTAAAGAGCGCAAACCTTGTGTAAATAAACCTCCTTTTTTAAACGGTAATCTAAGAAGGGCTGCCTTTAAGAAAGCTATGTTACGAAATAAGAACAACCGCATCAAAACAGCTGCTAACTGGGAAGCCTACAGAAAGCAAAGAAAGTATGTAGAGAAACTCCGTAGACAGTCTGTAAGGCTCTATTTTCAAGAACGATGTGGTGGAGGTCCAGCCTCTAAAGATTTTTGGCCTAGTGTTAAGCCATTTTTATCTAACAAATGTTTTAATGACCAGAACATTATTTTAGAAGAAAGCGAATGCATTGTATCCAACAGAGTGAAGTGTGTGATGTTTTTAATGATTTTTTTCTCTACAGTTGCTGATGATATTGGTAAAGATTTAGAGGGCGTGTCTAATTTTACAGACCACCCGAGTGTTATTAACATTAAAAGTTCTGTCTATAGAGAAAATGAAAACAATGTTTTCAACTAGAAGAGAATGATGTTAAGAAACTGTTTTCATCATTGATTGTGAAAAAAGCAACAGGTTCCGATGGTATCTCTGCCAAGATCTTAAAAGCTGGTACAGAATCTTTTACACCTGTCATAACATCCCTTTTTAACCATTGTGTAATTGTTTCCATTTTACCTGATGTTCTGACCAAGGCACAGGTTTTACCAATTTTTAAGAAAAACAATCCTATAGAAAAAAGAAACTTCAGGCCTGTTAGTATTTTACCCTCTTTGTCAATTTTCTTTTGAAAGGCTGGTTCATAACCAACTGAGTGAATATTTTAAGCCAATGTTTAAGTCCTTTCTTGGCAGCTTTCAGGAGCGGTTACGGGTCCCAGTCTGTCCTGCTGCGAGCTCTTGAGGACTGGAGGCAGGCCTTTTACAACCATCAGCATGTTGGAGCCATTCTGATGGACCTGTCCAAGGCATTTGACTGCTTTCCTCATAATCTGCTACTCGGGAAGCTGCAAGCTTATGGACTGGGTAAGTCATCTATTGGCTTCATCAGCAGCTACCTGAGTGGCAGAAAACAGCAGGTCAGACTGAGGCCAGAGACAAGCAAATGGACTGATGTAAAGAAAGGTCCCCCAGGGGTCTATTGTAGGACCTCTAATTTTTAATATTTTTATGAATGATATTTTTACCTTTGTAGACAAATGTATTTTATACAATTACGCAGATGATAACACGGTCTCTAAGATTTGTGACAATTATATATATTTGAAAGATTGTTTAGAAAAAGAGAGCAAAGTTCTTTTAGAATGGTTTGATGGTATGAAGGCCAATCCAGAGAAATTTCAGGCAATATGTTTTGGCAAAAAGAATAGTAACACTATCAAATCTTTTAATATTGAAAGCCTTGAGATTATTTGTGAAGACAGTGTGAAACTTTTAGGTGTGGATATTGTCTTTCTTCTTAAATTTGATGTACATATATCTCGCCTTTGCAGAAATGCTGCTAAGCAACTTGCTGTTTTAAAAAGACTGGCAAACAAAAAGGAAAAAATGCCCTTTTAAGTCTTTTATTCTATCAAATTTTAACTATCGTCCACTTGCCTGGCACTTTTGTACATTGACAAATACTCGGAAAATGGAAAAGTTCAGGAACGAGCACTTCGTTTTATTGAAAATGATTGTTTCCCCAGTCATTGATATTCTTAGAAAACACAAACTTGATTTTTTACATGTTAAACGTATGAAAGATATGGCCTCTGAGGTTTTTAAAATTTTAAATGAAATTTTTCCATCAATTTTACAAAATCTTGTTGAGAAGAAAGAAGTTTTTTACAATTTGAGACAAGATAACCTGGTAAAGATTCCAAAGGTGAACACCTCCACATATGGTAAGCGATCTTTTCGTTTTGCTGCTTCCCAGGTGTGGCACAGCCTACCAAATGAACTTCGCTGAAAACTATAAGTCGTTTTGTGGTCTGCTTTGCACCTGGAACAAAAATGTCTGCTCATGTGCTATCTGCACACACCATATAGTGTGAGTTGTCCCCCTTTGGAATCTACCTACATGTTTTATACTACAACTATTTAATTACACTGTCGCTTTTGTTATTTAATTTAATATACTTCAGTAATATACTTATTATATATTTGATATTTATTTTAGATTTGAGCTCCATTATTTAAAGGATCATTACTGTTTTACAAATCATAATTATAGCTCTGTTTCTATTTATGACTTCATTGTCTCTTTAATTCATACTATATTAGTGTATATCCTGTAATTTTTTACACTTTGCTACATTAGCATATATGTACATTACACTATTATAGTGTCTTAACTTGTCTTTTGTAACACTTGTGTGACATTCAAGTGTGATATAATATGCTCTACTGTATAATTTTAGCATACCTAATTTGAATTGTTGCCCTGTGTTTATAATTATATATATTCATAAGAACTGTGATCCTTGTTAAATTTTACATATGTTTTGTCGCAAGAATAGCACTACAGTGCTAATGTTGTTATGTTACATGTATATGCGACGTTAAAGCTTCTTGACTCTTGACTCTTGAAAGAGTTTTTAATCAGATTAATATGCAACGTTAAAAAGCACTCTATAGGCACATTACCCTTTTCTCGGTCTACCATAAAGCTGCCCAGAGAAAAGGGTAATGTGCCTATAGAGTGCTTTTTAACGTTGCATATTAACAACATTTGACTGAAACAGTTAATTGCATTTAGGGGAATGGTAACAACTGGTTAACCCGTTGTCAGTGTAATGTGACCGGGCGGAATGCTTTGTTGGGTACCTTCGGCATCGTATTTCAGTAAGATAGCACTATAGAGTCGGCATCAGATCCGCGCTATCACAAGGAGGCACGAACACCAACATACCCTGTCTCCTGCATACAGACACGCAAGCACGCATACACTACACACATGGAGGCACGTCCTTAAATAACCTTAGCTGTTAATAGGATGTTAAACAAAATTAAACCAAACCAATTATTCTTAAACGATAATTTCATGAATATACCTGAATAATAAGAAATAAGTAAACAAATAACAGGAACAAAAGTACGATGTCTTAAATATCATTCACTATTACTCTTTGTTGCAGATTATATAAACAATTAGGAAATGTATATATGCTTAGGGTCTGGCGTGAACCAATTTACATAGCCTTTGTTTTCCTTTGTTTTTCTAATGAAGTCTTCTTTTTGATCAAATTCAGTAAAGTGGCAGAACGCGATAATTAGAGCACAGCGTAGTGTTACATTGATACATATTCCAGTATAATTCAATTGAAGCGGAATTCAACAGTTGGTTTCAATCCCCTATTTTTTGAGGATAAATATTTGCCTCTTTATCTCATATTAGCCTCCATACCCTTTGCCCAAGGGGAGGGGTGGGGGAGGGGTCATCCTATGTTCATTAAAAAAATCGTTTGTCTAAAGATGCTATAGAACAAGTTAAGTTTAAATCTCCTCGTAGGTACAAAAGGAGAAGGGTTTTAACTATTTTCCTCTATTCCCCTATTGGGTCTTTACCCTTCTGTCCAAAGTAGGGGCCGCAGCCTCAGTTTATACAAAATGTCCTTTTTCAATAAGGATGCCTCAGATGGTTTACATCCCTTCATTTGTACAGAATGATAATTTCTCTAAATCACATTTTGGGTCCCGCCTCTCTTCTCCTAGGGAGGGTCACACCCTTCGTTTATATAAAATCGAGGTTCCTTTTTCCAAAAAATATTGACAAACAATTTTGGTAAAAATCCCTCCATTTGTTTAAAAGAAGATTTTGGAAATTTACCTCTTTCCCCCTTTTGGGCCCCACCTCCAGAGGCCCATGCCCTCTGTTTATACAAAATTGAGAACCCTTGGCCAGAACCTTTGGCCAAGGATACTCAAAATCCACGGAGCCATAAAGAACTAATAACGTGTTAATGCGAAAAGATGACGGACGCCGCGTCATAGCATCAGCTCACTTGGCTCGAAGGCTTTTAAAGCATAAACAATCCTCAAAACACATCAATCTTGTTTGTCTCAGCCAATTTATCGCAGTGAAAGTCTATCAGATATGTTCCCATTTCTTGTATTCTTGTTCTTTTTTTCAATTTTCCCTTACGACTAGTTAACTCCACACTCACAAACACACGCACGCACGCACGTACACACACACACCTGTACACTAAACATAATTAGAGAAAAGACAGGAGAGTGACATCACATTGAAGATAAAACACCGTTCAATAATGTGTATATAACAATACTAAACTAGAACACTGACAGGTCAGTAAGGGCCCCGTCTTGTGGCAATATATCCCCCATAATCATCAAGAAGTAATCTGCGCATATAGCTGAGCTTGACTTTTGCTATTTGGACTTCAAAAAGAATCGCAAGGAAGCAAAATATACATTTTACATGTACTATGATGTGAGTCTTGTTTCCTTCCACCTCATATTTGCTGGGCTAACAGAAATGTAAATACCGGTGCAATACTCATTTGTTAGCTTTGATTTGTTTTATTTCACCTTATATACCTACTCCATCAAGAGCCAGGGTCAAAGTCAGAGATCCACCTCGTCTTTGACCTTTGGACCCAAATGACCTTGACCATTAACCCAACGACCCTGATCTTTAGTCAGTTGACTTATTCTTTAATTCCGACCAACTTTGCTTCATAATATCAACAAAATGTTCATCTGTGAAAAATACAAAACTTGACCTTGACCCCGTAACCTGGACCTAAGGTCAGTTGACTCTGTGTTAAGTTCTGAACAACATTGCTTCATAATGTCATAAAAAACCTGTTCATCAGGGAAAAGGTACAACATTTAATCTTCACCTTTGACCAAGTGACCTTGACCTTTGGTCAATTGACTCCTTGTTTAATTCTGAGCTACGTTGCTTCAAAGTGTCATAGCGAAATTTCACCAGTGAAAAGATAAAAAAATAACCTTGCCCTTTGACCCAATGACCTTGACCTTTGGTCAGTTGACTCTTTGTTTAATACTGATCTACTTTGCTTCATCATGTCTTTACAAAATTTTCATCAGTGAAAAGCTACAAATTTTACCTTGACCCCTGACCCGATGACCTTGACCTTTGGTCAGTTGACTCCTTGTTTAATTCTGATCAACTTTGCTTCATAATGTCATAGCAAAATGTTCATTAGTGAAAAGTTGTAAATTTGACCTTGACCTTTGAACCTAATGACCTTGACTTTTGACCTCAATGTGTATTTTTGTGAACTGAACATCTTGACCAACTTTCATATACATTGATCAATAAATACCAAAGTTATCAGCCAGAAACAAAATGTGTGGACGGACAGACAGACAGAGTGATTACTATAGGGCACCCTATTTAACACAATACAGTTATGAAACAACTTGAACCTTTAATTAATGCCTCTTAAATGCTAAACATACACATTATTCTAAATTCGATAGCTTTCACTATTGTAGCTCTAACATTATTCAAACCAAGTCGTTGTATTGATTTAAAAATGGAGGGTCATAATAAATATCCGGTGTGAAAGGAGATCGGTTACATACATATTTTATTAATGCAAAGTATACCAATGTGTCGACAATTGATATGGAGGTTAAGTAACCGACATGTGTAGAATATTCATTGGAACACATTTAACAATCATTAGGTAAGTACTTTTATCACATACCTGTTGAATCTTGTTATAGTAATATAAGAAATTTTCAGACCATGAAATACAACGTTCTGTATTGCGCATGTGCAATACGGCATGTTGTATTTACCTACTAGCCGGAACTATTGTTTATGGGAATCCCCTTGTCATGGCGAACTGAAAAGTTCCCGGTATTTGCAAAAATATCAAAGTTTATAAAATCTTTGTATCGATCTCTACCAAATACGGAAGGTATGTGATAAAAGCAAGACCACACACTTGTGTTTTTCTAATGAATCAAAAAGCACTCATTTATTGCGCGGACGTATATATTAACTCGTGCGCTACGCGCACTCGTGAATATATTTGTCCGCGCAATACACTCGTGCTTTCTGATTCTTTAGAAAAACACAAGTGTGTGATCTTGCATATTTATTACATTGTTCCCAGTGAGATATCGACTTCTATCATTCTGATAAAACTGATAATTTACTCACGTTATGCTTGGTTTGTTGTATGTGGTTTAACGTCCTATCAACAGCTACGTCATTTAAGCACGGGCCTCCATACCCCTGCACGTCGGGGATCGAGAAAGGAATACACCTGCTGTTACCCACTGAATGTATCGTAAGATGCAACTAATGTTGGAACCCCCGGCATAATTGGGGATTAGCGACAAATAAAAACCTGTTCCCATTGCAACATTTGGAATCTATATATTTCTTTCTACTTCCATCTACTTTTTATTTCCTACAGCCTTGTTTGGCAATACCTCACTACTGGATTTAATGCTGAACGGTCGCCCAGGCGAGGCAGGCTATGGGTTCTGTTCCCAGGTTGGGACATACCAAAGTTCTTAAAATTGGTAGTTATTCTCTGTTTAACGTTCAGCATTTGTTGTAAAAGCAACAACAGGTCTCCAGCACACATACACACTTGCACGCTTACACAACACACATGGACGCACGTCCCTAAATTAAATAAAACCAAACCAAATTGTGCCTCCATGTGTGTAGTGTATGTGGACATGTGTGTATGCGTGATAGATGCAAGGTATGTTGGTATATTTGCCTCCTTGTGATAGTTTGGATCTGATGCCGACTTGATAGAAGTAGCACAGAACTGTATTCCGCCCCGTCAAATTATACTAACAAAATGTGAACCAGTTGTTGCATTACCCTATATGCTGAACGTTAAGCAGGAAAAACCAACTACCATTTTCAAAGACTTTGATATATCCCGGCCTGGGGACAGAGGCTATGATATATATCAAAATTGATAAAAGTGTCAATGAGAAAATTTCACAGTTTCGCTCTGATCATTAACAACGGTACTTTCACTCGTATTCAAGTTCACTCCTGCCTTTCACTCATGATAAATGTCGTTTTTTCTGCCATTCTGTTGACCAATATATTGTATTTAACAGTACAGGTTGTCCTTAAGTGCTCGACTTTTTACGTACAAGGCAATACAACTATGTCATATTTGAAATTTGTAATATTCATATTTGTTTAAAGTGTCTATTGGGCTTCGGAATTTGTTTCTATAATTGTTTTGGGTTTACCGTCCTCGCAACAGCCAGGTTCCTGTGAGGACGGGTGCCTAGGAAGACATCTTACGATAGAGATAGTACACAAAATAGAAAGGAAGGGTTGGAAACGAAAAAGATTCCAAGATTCCATTTTGTTATATTCCGTGTTCTGTTCGTATCAGACACGAAAGGAAATTCCCAACTCACTAGGGGTCCATCCACTAGTCGCCTTTCACGACATGCGTTGGGATACAGCTGGTCTATCCNCTAAAGGTGTGCATAGGGCATTACAATTATCATTTGCACATTAAGTCGTGCTTCCCATATGTGCCAAGACTGAAGTCAATCGGTCATTCTTTTCCTCAAAAATATATTTCATATATTATTTAAGCAAGTGACAACCCGATATTTAAATATTTCTTTCTATTTCGAGATTTTTCACAATGAAATGAAAATCCAATCACTTTATCTGCGGCAAATGAGAATGAATGCTAAATTGTATCTCCTCTGTAGCAGGTGGAGAATACAGAGCCAACAGGTGTAAATGTAATTAAAACAGATGTTATCAATATGAAAGTGTTGTACAAATGCATCCCATTGTTATACTCTCTGTATACTGTGCATGTGTAAGTTACATAAGCACTGTGACGTAATTACTATGATATATGTCTTGTTTATATCCTGTTTCTCTAATGGCGTGTCCGGACTTGACGACCTCACTGCACAAACATTTCACACGAATTTCCGCCACCATTAATAATGTATATAATGTCCCGGGGCCCGAGGCCGTGGATCTGCATTAGTCTACTGACGCCCTGCAATAGACGCCAGTATCGTGCATTTCTTCTAATAAACTTCACAAAGCTGTGAAGTTACGTGCTAGGAAACGGTCGTTCCAGGTATGTATATTACTTGGTTTGGTTTGATTTAATTTTGTTTAGCGTGATATTAACAGCTAAGGTGATTAAAGGACTTGTATCCATGTGTGTAGTGTATGCGTGCTTTCGTAAGTGTATGTAGAAGACAGGGTATGTTGGTGTGCTTCGTATTAGATAACCAATAATAATACTTACATTTTAAACATATCCCTGTCGTTCCGTTCCTTTTTTCATTCCGATGTATGCGGTATGCAAGTTCTGAAATTTAGGTTCAATTTAAAGATTTAAAGTAAGAACATTTAATCTTTATGGAGTGTGTGTATTTAATAAAACCATCTAAGGCTAAACATTTTACATCATAAAATGAAAATTCAATCAGTATTTCTGCGGCAAATGAAATTGAATTCTAAGTTGCCTCTCCTCTGTACCGAACGGAGAATAGAGAGACAACAGGTGTAAAATGTATATTGAAACAGATCTCATGAACATGACAGTGGTTTACGAGTTAACGTTAGTTAGTTATTTGATTCTTAACGTTCCATCAACACGACCACAAGGTCATTAGGGGCAATAAAACAATAACTTAAACATGTAACAGGAAATGACACCAAACAAACATAAGGTAAATAGACACACGTCAACTTGAAAAGTAACAAGGCTATGGTTTAGTTCTATTTTTTTGAACAGACCAACAGTTTTAGGTAGGTTAGAATTGTACAGACATTGACTATTTCGGAAAAATGTTTGAGACCTATTATTTCATTATAATGATATTCTCGTGTTGGCTGAAGGTCAATGGAATCTAATAACAAGTGTACTACTGTGATCGTGATATGCTATACATTGAGGCTGGTCTTCGCTTTTCAATAAATAAGAATGGGTTATGTATGGACAACCTCGTCTTGGCAGTTTGCTCTATAGGTTTGATACCATTCACCGATTTTCGGTTTAACGCAGTGTAATTTGTTGTTTTCTGCAATTTTGAGCTTGCAATATTTGAAGTTTAAAATCAACAGGTGGAGATATGACTTAAATGTGTATCATATCTGAATTTTGTGCGTATTTGCTTAAATGATTCTTTGCCATTTGAATTAACTAGACACAATTAACTTTCGCCAAAAATATCGAAAAAAAAACATTTCCTGTTTTTCAAAAGGCCATTTCATGCAATATTCTTCTTTGAATGATAGTAAACCCTATGCTGACTACACTTTGCACCAAATATAAGATTGCAAAAAAAAAATGTGCAATATAATTCAAAAACATTATCAAGGGTGTACATTCTTGTATAATAACACTATTATATAAAGTTTAATTCCTATGAGATGTTCCAAGCAATGTCGAAATGAAAATGTCGTCTAATCTGAATATCATTATCTATATAGAAATAGCGACATTAGTGTAATAAATTTGTGAATACAGAATAAAAGTTACTTATATATATGTTATGTATACAGTACCAGTTGCTGTGGTATTCCTTCAAAACTGTTTTAAATACTTTTAAGATTGACGGTACATGTTTACTCCAACAGGAAAGTGAACGACAAGAAAGACGAACATCCCAAGCTACACGTAAGTAATACAAAATTATTGTACCTCTATGCGTGAAACATGAAAAATGGTTTTCCTCAAAATTGATCATGTTCCTTGGGGATGGTGCAAAATTATATAAGATGCCAAAATGAGAAAAATGTAACAATGAAACGTTTACCTGGTAAAGTAGCTTTCTTATTCAGAAAGGGAATATAATTTTGACTATAGTTGTCTATGCAACACAACACTACTGCAAAGTAAGTACTTTTCGTAGGAGTGTGATTTAAAAGGTATTGACGTGTTTGAATCGGTGAATGTAACTATAAAATGATATTAATCTAATATTAAACTGCACAGATGTGAATTTTTATTCGATATATGTGCAAAACAACATTATTCAATTTTCGTGCTACTTTCTTTAATTGATCTCATATGTGCAAATTTAACCCGTAGCTTACCAATGATATAAAACCAGCAGAACAGCGAAGTATCAAATTAATCGTAATTCGGACTTAAAATCGAAAAACTACGGCAAATATGAACAAAAGAGAAAATTATCTGGGGACTTTTGAGTAAGTGCAGGATAAATCCGTTTGGGTGTTCCGGATGTGTTAACACATGATATTCGTCGACGACACCCGTCATGTATATCAAGGTTAAATCCATGTAATGTACGGTCCTAACAGCGAGAACCGAGATGTGACAACGAAACACTAACAAAACAACATATGACAGCATTATCATTTGTCAACGATGTGGCACATGTCAATTCTTATGTTGAGATCAAATAGCAAAATTTAGTTTCACGAAGATAACCCGTTATACGGTGTGATATAACTAATATTAAAAAACAACAATCAGCTCAGCTAAAGTTAACCGAATTCAGAATTGACATATACCGCATCGTCATATTAAATTTTTTTAATAAAATATTTTAAATAATTTGCGATCATATTCCATACCACGATATATGTTAAGACTACTAACGCATTATTTTCACAATAAATACATTTAATTCAAAATGCATACTGAAATTATCTATAAATATTCCATCATTTTGTACAAAGATCATGGTTAGTTGTCTATGCTCGACGCCATGCTTGCATTGCTATTAATTTATATGGAAAATATATACGTAATATGGGTATAACATTTCAAAGAACAAGCTAGAGTACCGCGGGGCGGAACAATATACGCCCGCCGAATGCCATGTGGTGCTATATACTTTCTTACATTGAAATAAGATCTGCATCAAGTGTGTTTAGCTGACATGCTATAGAAAAAGTAGAAGAAAATCTCTGGACAAAAAATCAAATACTGAAATGAACAAGGGGCAACAACTTTTTGCAAAAATCGTTGAATTTAAATTTCTTTAAGGGAGACACAACTTCATATCATGAATACAACGTATACAAAGTTTCAAAAAGATACGTTGAAAAATGTAGGAGGAGATTGCCGGACAAAAATCAAATAATGAAATAAGCAAAGGTCAATAACTTTTGCAAATATTGTTGAATCAAAGTTTTTTCCAAGGAAACACAACATACCATGATTATTTAGCCTACTAAGTTTCACAGAAATCCGTCAAAAAATGTAGAAGGAGATTGCCGGACAAAAATCAAATACTGAAATGAACAAAGGGCAATAACCTTTGGAACAATTGTCGAATCAAAATTCTTTCGAGGGAGACACAACTTCATATCATGATTATAATGTATACCAAGTTTCAAAGAGATCGGTCGAAAAATGTAGGAGGTAATTGCGGGACAACAAAAGTTTACGCCGGACGGATGGAAGGACGGACAACCCCATAACATAATACTTCTGTCAAATTTGACGGGCGTATAATAAGTATTGAATATTTTGACTATCAATCACACATCAATTAATACAATCTGTTTCTGTCATTTTATTATCATTATTCCGATAAAATATTGATTATATTATCTAGAATTAATAATTATACATCATACGGTAGTTAAATATGTACACGACGTTGGAAATATTCTAGTAAAGTTTACATGGAATACTAGTTTAAACATAGTCTTGTCTTTTGTAGCCAGACACTAGTTCATAAAAATGGTAGTTATTCCATGCTGAACGTTCAGCATTAATAGAAATGGCAACAACTGGTTCACCCGTTGTCAGTATTATGTGACCGCGGGCAGAATGCTGTGCAGGATGCCTTCGTCATAGTATTTCAGTGAGATGGCACTATAAAGTCGGCATCAGATCCGCGCTTTCACAAGGGTTAATAACGCCAACATACACTGTCTCCAGCACACATACACACATGCACGCTAGCATAACACATACGAGGGAACGTTCTTAAATGACCTTAGCTGTTAATAGGACGTTAACCAAAATTACACCAAACCAACCCTGTAAGTTAATAATATATATATATCAATGATATATGGTTTAAGGCACCTTTAAATGTTTTGCACTGTTTTTCAATTTTTCTGATCACTTCAGACATATTTTTTTTTCGGTTTAAATGTTTTCATTGATTTTCTAGTGATTATTACTTGGAGTCAACAATATAGTATCTGTCGACCAGACATCCCCAGAACCATACTTTTGTCTGATCCTCTATACTTGTTAGAGAGAAATGGAGACTCCTGTTTACGTGATGATATATTGTTTAATGATTATTATATGTAAATATCAACTGCTAACATAGTCAGATTTATAAAAAAACATATTAATTTTGATCACGTGACATATTACAGCATGGACAATGAAACGGACTCGGATGTATGCCGTAGTGAAAACGCATGTGAATTACTAAGTGATGGTAATGGCGTAATAGAAATATCATGTTCACCGCCAGATGTAGCAGAGGAAACTCACAACGAGGCAACAAAATACCCGGATGTCCCGACATTGCGTTACGGCGTCGGAGATCACCCACCCATTGTGTTATCACTAATTCTAGCTTTACAGGTACATCGTTTTGAAAACTCGCAATGTTTAAGTTTATATTATTTACAGCCTTATATATGCTATATAATGGTAAAAATTTAAGTTGAAATATATATTGAAATATTTGTCTTTCCAAATCATATTGCAATATATATACTAATAAACAATAAATTGGCCTATATTATATTGTCAACCTATACTTACTATTATTGAATATTTCTTTCGCACAAAGCAATCGCGTGGTCAGCATACTTAATTAAAAGTGACCTTTATGCGTGCCCTCATACAATGACAATAGCAAAAGGTGTCTAATTTATCATGATTTAAGAAAACAAAATCAAAATAATTTCCAGATGATATTTGTCCTTCTCACTGGATTGACCGAGAGAAATATGACCATAATTGTAATTTTTAATAGTTTAATTAAGTAAGTAGACACCTTTTCACTTTGCCGTGGGCTTTCTCAGGTGAGGAAGGCTATGGGTTCTATTCCCAGGCCGGGACATATCGAAGTCTTTAAAGATGGTAGTTGTTATTCCCTACATTACGTTCAGCTTTAAGGGTAATGGCAACAACTGGTTCATCCGTTGTCAGTATAATGTGTCCGTGCGGAATGCTGTGCTGTGTGCCTCTGGCATCGTTTTCCAGTGCGATATCACTCTAAAGTCGGCATCAGACCCGCGCTCTCACAAGGAGGCAAGTATACCAACATTCCCTGTCTCCTGCATACATACACACATGCACCTATACACAACACACACGGAGGCACGTCTTTAAACAAACTGTTAATAGGATGTTAAACACTGTAAAACCGAACCAAATATTGGTTGTAATTTGTGGTAACAAATATCGACGTATGTTCCCAGAATGTTGTGCTGTCCTTTGGGATGAACGTTCTTATTAGCGTCACAATCGCAGACCTCGCCTGTGCAGAGAGGAACGATCCAATCAGAGCTAAGCTTTTCTGCACGTCGGTTTTCGTGGTAGGATTGACCACGGTCGTCCAGAGTGCAATCGGCATCAGGTGAGTAATAGTTTCTAGTTAGGATTTCATAATTGCCGATGACAACGTAACTGACTTGTTCTTTCATATGTTCTTCCCTTCAACAAATCCTGTGTAAAGTTATATTGATCTCCATAGAAAGTCTGATACGTTATTCAGGGCCCGTATTTATGAAACTGATCTCATGATCAAACACCTCTCTTTCAACGTTCTTTGTAGTCTTTGAAAATAACACTCAGCTTTTAGGAACTCCAAATCTGATAAATTAATTGACATAATATTTGATCACTTTATGATACGAAATTAATTACGACATGAGCATGGAAACGGATGCATGCGCCCTGGTTAATGTAATAGCGTGTGTATGATATCCACATGACGCTCCGGGGAAATGAGTCTACTTAACCGGCAATGTATCAATTTTCGGCTGAAGAGACTTTAATATAATTTTTGTGATAGCCATCAAAACCAGAACTGTTAGTGTCAATCGTTAAGTCTCTGATCGTTGATGTCGTTCACGTTTTGTCTTAGTTTGAGTTTTGCACACGTGGAGTCTGATCACAGATGGACACGATTTATGATATTACTGTACTCATCATCAATTTGAAATTAACTTCCACTTTTCTTCTTTTTGAAACAATTAAGGAGTTTTAATTAACCTCCCTTCTAAAATGCTTCAACAGTAGTCATAATTAATTTGGATTTCAATCTTTCTGGCCCCCTACATCCCCGATGAGCACTAGAAGGACGTGGTATTATGTTTTTGCATGCTGTATCTGTTGAATAATTTCAATGTTGCACGTGTGTGTGAGTGTGATACGTTCATCCGTTTTATCAATGAGCCCCTTTTTGGTATGATGTTAACAATTTGAAGTGTGATTTCCCCACTACGTTTTCATGTATTTATAACATAGGTCTTAGAGATACAATAATGTGTGCGTGTCCTACGTCCGTCGCATAAACATACAATTATTACGTAAATATCCCACATGTCAAATAAAAAAATGACATTTTCTTTAAATGGTAGTGTTTTCTATTATCTCAAATTCACATCCGTTTGAAATGAATGTGCTAAATGCATAACGATTTCTGCAACAACTAAACAGTTTATGTTGGTAGCATGTGCTTGTTTAAGCATTGAACTGCTTTTGTATGCCGTTCCATGCTGTACATGTAGTCTGGGACACTGTGACGATTTACTACGAAGGAGGTTTATAGAAGTCGCTTTATTTAAGCATTGAACTGTTTGTGTATGGTATTTATGATCTATTTGAATGACACAGCTTTGCAAGCAAACAACATAATGCGCGCTAAATACCATACAAAAACAGTTCAATACTTATATTTGCGTTTTCTCTGTCTCTTATGTTCTTTTTTAACTTATAATTTATATTTAGAATTAAAAATGCCCGCCTTATCGACAGTCCACACAATTTCGTTCAATAGTTTGAACAGCGTATTGTCGCGTGCTGATTGGCAAACAAAGTAGTACTTTGAAATTTTAACAAACACTTCAATTTTATTCCACAATTCAGTATCAATACAATTGCGTATGAGATGTATAAAGGCTGATATAAGTTTATCAATAGAACTCTGAGCTGAAAGTTAGATTTTAAATTGTTTCGATTTTACCCCGGAACAAATTTTGCGCATGGACAAATACAGTGAACACCGTAAATCCGACCTTGCCCTCCACGAGGGAGTTATTTTTGGAAGTTTATTTGTGAAGAATCCAGGCGTGAATTTATTTGTTGATTGTATGGGAACCTGACAACAGTCGGTAGATTCTATAACAGCCTCGTTATTTGACCTGTCGTCAGAATTAAACTGAGGAACCGTAGATGCGAGACTCGTGAAACTGATAGCGTTTGAAGGGAGTGATCTTGAGACGGAGCACAGGTTCGTTACAAATGTCTGAAATGTTTATGTGTGCTGTGACTCATATCAGTAGGTCTGTAACATATGTGTCAGTAGGTCTATATTTCAGGCATTTGTAACGAACCCCTGTTGACCATTGCAGTGTAACAGACGATATTTCTGATAAATTACAAGAGCGTTAAAATTGTTTCCATTGCCGGCATTGGCGATTTCAACCGATGTGCGTTTTGTACGATATTGCAGACCTTGGTCTTGTTTTCGTTGTAATAAAAGTGTTTTTTATTTTATTTTTTATTTTACACATAAATTTACAATGACATTGTCAAATCCCACAATGCCCAGCGATATTTTAGCAGCCGTCATGTTTATTTATATTGGATATTGTAGTTCCTGTCAGTGTTGTATTAATACGCTAAGAATTGTGTCTCGTGATGCATGGTAATTAAAGTCCCATCAACGACACAGTTTTCAAAGAGGCTATATAGTGACAATGCCATGCAAATGTAAATATTTAATAATTAAGTGCGCTGGCTGTTTGTTACAGACTTCCAGTGTTGCAAGGCGTGTCCAGCTCTTTCTTGGTACCGTTGCTATCCATGAAGACGGCAGGCGTATGGTCATGTGACAACCCAGACGTCGTGGATTTTGGTATGACAAGTGATTAGATGTAAACTTTTAGATATCTCTCCTGATATCTGTAAATTAAGTAGAACAAAAGTACTTATAAAATATAAAAAATATGAGGTTGTTTTTCGCAGGATTTTTCTTTTACTCATATTTGGTAATGGCAACAATTGGTTAACCCGTTATATCGTCGATATGTCCTAAGACATAAGTTATGAATAAACAAATAGCCGCTAAGATTTTGTTAGAAGATAAATAAACACACAAAGAAGTACGCGCAAAGGTTAATTGTTTTCTTGAATAAGCACCGGGGGTGCAGGTGGGGGATCGGAAAAAAAATACACCTGCTGCTACCCACTGAATGTATCGTAGGAGGCGACGAATGAGAGAACCCTCTGCAGAATTTGGGATTTGCTTTGGTGTCCTCTATTTGGGGACACAAAAACGACCACAATAAGTCTGCTGCACCCATTGCAATATTTGGGAACTTCATCTTTCTTTCTACTTCTTACTACCTTTTTTTATTTACTAGCGCCTCATATTAAAGTTCTTAAAAATGGTAATTGTTATTCCCTTTTCAACGTTCAGCATTTAGAGAAATGACGATAACTGGTTCAACTGTTGTCAGTATAATGTGAGCGGAATGCTGTGCTGGGTGCCTTCGGCATGGTATTTCAGTGAGAAAGAACTATAAAGTCGGCATCAGATCCGCGCAATCACAAGGAGTCACGCACACAAGCATACCCTGTCTCCTGCAAACCACACGCAAGCACGCATACATCTAAACTCCTAACATAATCCATAATAATTTTACTTATTTGCAAATATAAGCTAAATAGCACTTTCGCAGTATTGATATACAGATTTTTCGTCAATTAATCTTTCAGTGTCGGTGTCAACCAATCAGACGGTGCTTCAGAATGTTACTATGGATACAAAACAGGAAATGGTTTACTACCGGGTAACGCAGGTAACAGCCACAACGTCTGTGTCGTTGTCATGGATAGGAAATGTATAAGAGAAGGTATGACCACCATGCGAAGAAGCCCATCGTGATGACACCTACATGTGTTGTGTCTTTCCTTATAGAATTTACGGTCTAGCATGCAAACATATATAAGATTGTATCTTGCATGATTTTCCATTTCATATGAGATTTATGAAACGAATTTAAGAATTTTCCATTAAACGAGCCTCTGGCGAGCTAAAATGAAAAATTTGTGACGAGTTTCATAAATTTCATCTGTTGGAAAACGCGTGTTATATTGTTTTTTATCACACAATCAAGATATTTGGCATTTATTTGGGTGAAACGACAATTTTCGTGTAACCTTGAAATGTAAAAAGGCGCCATTTCGATTCCAGTGCGTATGCCTGTGACGTAATGTACTTGTCCTTGGCGTGACGTCACAATTGAAACTTGCACCCAATAACAGGGCTGATAGGTCATATTACATGGGTTAATACGCCACAAAATATGACATGGGTTTACTCACTGGATAACACAGTACATTGTGGTATAAAATTTTCATCTGTACGCCTTATAATGAAAACCGTCCTCGTTGGCCCTTGGTATTGAAACAATCTTAACGAAAAACAGGGCTAACTTATCATTTGCTGAAATAAGATAAGCATGAATGTTTCCAAAGACACCTTCACAGTTCTATAGGTATTTATACTTAGGCCAGAAACAATGCATGTTTTATGTTCCCAGACCGACTTCAGTGTTTACCTCAGACCCTTACAATTCCATCGCACTCGAATGCACTTACACGTCCCATTCGAACACTCCGAAAATCGTAAACGTCTCTATTTCATAGATAGGTATCCAAACCAAATTTGAATCCACAGCATATAGTGGTTTGTAGTTTCTTATATTAGCCCCCACCCCCCCNTTGTTGTTTCTTTCCTACCGACCTACCCATACTACCTGGAACAGACATGCTAATTTGATTTTGACCTTATATGAATTAAACAAACACCATTTTGACGATATACAAGTTCCTCGAGTTGGTAAAGATATTCATCGCCTACTGCGTCAACACCGGGCACCTACTGTAAACGTGCTTAATTTTAATGCAATCAAATTTTAGTGCATTTAACTTATCAAGTTTTAATATAATAGCGCATTCTTGAATTGGCTTACATCACTACATCCGTCGACACTGGACCTACAAATATTCTGTCATTATTTTGGATTGTATCCTACTAGATAATCACGAGAATATATCCATGTTCCTAATTTTATATTTAGCTTCAGGGAAGTTTGATGGTTTCCGGTCTTGTAACGGAAGTGCTCCTTGGTGGAACTGGCCTTCTGGGATACCTGGTCAAACTGATGGGCCCGATCACTGTTTGTGTGATGATCACCTCAATTGGTTTGTCATTGTACCCTATCTCCATATTCTACAGTAGCGCATGCCTTCCAGTGGCGATGTGGTGAGTTGGATGACGTCACCAATATTTCTCTCCGCGTCAGGCAAAAGAAATTGCTGTATTTGTAGGCAATACAAATACACTATACACAATGATAATAAAGTCAAGAAATAGAAAAGAAACTAGTAACATATGTACACAAAGGTACCATTTCCTTGCCAATCTGAAAACCAATATCACGTCCGCAACATGTTTCCGTTTTAAACACTCTAATCGTGTTATCCACAGACGCTTTTGTCGGTGATATTTAGAAGTTTAACCTGATGCTATGTATTGAAAACTGTTTAGTCCTGTTTTGTAAGGCTGCTAAAACTAGTGTGTGTTATAATATAAACTTCATTTATTTTACAACAATTATGAAACAAGTTATTTCAACTTAATGTTAGCGCGGTTGGGGAGGGGGAATCTTACTGTGGGAGGAAACCTGAGTACCAGGGGAAAACCCACGTGGTTGAGCAGGTGACCCCATACCTTTTCACGTCCGGTCGGGGAACCGAACCCAGGCGGCCTTGGTGAAAGACAAGTGTGCTATCCACTGCGCCACCCTACCACTAGTGTGTGGTCCTGTATTTCCTTATGGGAAATACTCTTTCTCCTTTGAGACTAACGTTTGACCGTGTACCAGCTTATTGCGTTAATGAACAGTAGCACTTCCGCGTGTGTGCCAGTCTGTGACATTATCATGTGAACGGTGTATTAAGGCTCTAAAAAGACCATGAATGTACACAAGCTGCACTGAATCATTCCATTTTACAACACACGCCTTTCTTTTACAGTGGTTCGGTCATTATGATTTTGAGTATCATGTATCTTTCTCGAATCTATGTCCCAATACCAACAATGTACTGCAACAGGAAGATGGCTATAAATATGCCAGAGCTCAACAAAAAAACAAAGCTGCCAGTTTTTCAGTTATTTCCGGTAAGTTATGCCTTTTAACCATTACTTTGATCCTTTCCAAAAACACAACACAGTCATATTGATCTGGAACATTAAGACATTTTCAGATGGAGCAGACGAAACAAGAATATTTTAGAGAATGTGGTGTCCCTTTGTTCATTCATTAACGAACCTCCTAGATAAATCAATGTGTCACACATTTTTAACGTGCCAATGTATGCGAATGTAAATTTTAGTTTTCAACTTTGCTATTGAGTTGTCGTTATTATTCTGACATTACGTTTTATCATATGTTTCCCTTTCTTGCGAAAACGTGTGTTATAGATCTTTATCACAGTGGTGTTTACATGGGGGCTGTGTTGGGCCCTGACCTTGACGGGGGTGTTTTCTGATGACCCCAATGACCCTGGATATCGTGCCCGGACAGACACCCATGGAGACCTGATATCCCTGTCTCCGTGGTTCTTCTTCCCTTACCCAGGTAACGCACTATTTAAAAAAAACAACCGATAAATTCATTTTCTTATACAAATTATGTAATTGTATAGCGGATTACGCTTTTTTCTTTTCTCATAAAAATCGATCTTGTTTGGAATAAAAAAGAGGATAGCTGTTGCTTTCCTGTTGAACACCAGACGTTGCATGAGTATGGCAACCTAACGAGAGATCGGAAATAGAGAAAACGTTCGTGCAATACTAGAGAAATGTATTATTCGCCAGTAAAACCACTGAAGTTGCGATTAATTACCATAACCTTGATGGTCACGGTCATCTATTTCGAGTAGTAGCGCGGTTCTTAATACACAAAATCGTTAACGATTGTGTTTTGAGGAAAAGATCCACTACTGCTGGTTTGGCTATACAAAATAAACATCTTATTAACAGTATTAATATTGACGTCATTTCCAGGTCAGTTTGGTCCTCTCCGTTTTAACACGGCGGTTTTCATTGGATTTGTGAGCTCCTATGTGTCCTCTAATATAGAATCCATTGGGGATTACATGGCGACCTCCAGGGCAACGGGGACCTTTCCACCACCTCGTCACGCAATAAACAGGGGTATACTAACAGAGGGCGTCCTGGGAATGGTGGCAGGGGCCCTTGGGGCCGGGCACGCTACGACATCATACAGCATCAACATTGTTATCATTAAGCTTACAAGGGTAAGAATAATGCTGAAACGGGATATATATAAATATACAACAGGATGAGTTTGCTGCAGGTTGGAGATTGAGAAAAGAATATACCTTTTTTTACCAAACATTTGTCACAAGATGCACCTAATGTGCTAACCTACTGCAAAAAACGAGGACATGTTTTTTATATACTCTACTTTGAGATAGAATAATATTGGAGAAAAATGCTGCATTGTACCAATAGATTTTATTTTCCCTGTGAAAAATATTCAACAGCAATATTTAACTGGTTGCGATAAGCATCGATGTTGCCAATTAATACTAAATGGACTAAGGATATTATTTTTCAATAGATTTTGTTTAGCCCATTTTTGGAGGTCTTATGTTTAAACGTATCTAATTGTATAGGTTGCTAGTCGGAGTGTAATAGTTTTGGCGGGCGTCCTTTGTATGCTTTTTGGAGTCATTGGCAAATTGGGCGCAGTAATGGCGTCACTTCCTGATCCGGTTATTGGGGGCGTGTCCATAATCACCTTTGGCTTGCTGGTATCCGTAGGGTTGTCATCGCTACAAAAAGTAAACTTGTCATCAACCCGGAACCTTGCAGTACTGGGTACATCGCTGTATGCAGGCTTGGTCACTTCCGAATGGCTGAAACTCAACAAAGACAGCATCAATACAGGTACATGAGTAGTTTATTTCCTTTACCAGTAGTATGTTTCATTGGCTACTGTAATACCCAATGTATAGTGGATACATACGCGTCATAATTAGGAGGCATGGTAGTCTACTGGTATAACGCCGGGATAATGACCGAAATGTTGGGGGTTCGATTCACGGCACGGCACTGTGTTGTATCTTTGAGCAAGATACTTATCTCCGCTTGTTTCAGTCTACTCAGCTGTAAATGCCAACGTGGTTGGGCAGTGCTAATTGTTGAAAGCTAGCTGTGATCGACGAAATGGCATGACCGGCTGTATTCTCCCCAGGGAGTTGAACATTATATTGGTTGGTTGCAAAGGCCCTTTAACCACATACTAATTTGTGAACCGCTTTGAGACACGACCTACGAACTAGTTTGTGATAAAGCGGTATATAAGAACCTCGAATTATTATTGTTATTATTATTCAACTTTCGATTCCTTGATTCAAGCTTTCATACTTGTATATTGTCTGTATACAGGTTATGCCTCCTTGGACCAGGTGCTGAAGCTGATCCTAGGGAATCAGATGTTTGTGGCGGGAATTACCTCCGTCATCCTCGATAATACTGTAAAAGGTAGGTAAATGAGTCAGTAGAAGTTTGATGTATTTCAATCGTTACAAATAATACACTGTTCTTATTTTTATTTGTTGTGTATGCCTTAGTTCTATGAATTTGTTTTACTTATCTTATGCTTGACATGTAATGTAGCAAATGACCAACAACCAACTACATGAGTTTGAGTGCAAAAATGAAAATAATCCAAGTATAACATACCATGTGTAATAACGTTTTGATGTAAGGTTCGAGTTATTTTTCGATCGTATAATCAAGATTTTACGATTTTTTAAAAAGTTTTAAGCTCACCCGGTCCGAACGGATATTGAGGAATAGTGAGTTTGAACCCCCTGGAGGAAGAGGGGCGGGTGAAAATAGAAAAATAGCTTTAAAATCCTTCTCCTTCTGTAGGAATGACACGATTATGTCCATATTTGGACTAAAGCGTCATTGGGTGAAAGGGACCTAATTTTGTATCAACGATGGGTCTGACCCCACTGGGAGCAGAGGGGTGGGACCCAATAGGGAAAACATAGCAAATTCTTCAAAATCCTTCTTTTCCTGTAGGCTATTTAGTTATTCTGCAAACCTGCTACAGAGATATCTTCTACTCTGGAAATCAGTGCATAGTAATTGGCATAATATTTTGTGTATGTGATATGTTATATTATAGATGTGTTGCCATTTAATATATTGACTAGAAGATTTCATCAATTCTACTTAAAAGAGAGTCTAGTCCGTGACTGAACTCCATAAACATAATATTTAATATTTACTAATGTAAATGTCTGAAACATATATTATTTTTGTTTCGAAATTATCGGGCTTCTTCTTAACCTTTGCCTTCTGTAAACAATGTCAATAAAGATTTCATACTATGTCTTTACACGATATTAGCTAAACGAAAAATAGAGCTCTATGTCAAACACTTAATCAGCTGACAAATGATATTAGGTACAGCTATGTTTTAAAAAAATGTAGGTTTAAAAAAAATATTGTAGGTAAGAGGTTACATCTCTGCAGAACAATCCTATTGCCTTATATAATCAACTGCAAGTTTGGTCGGTGATAATAAATGTTATCTATTTCTTGTAGGAACAAAGGAAGAGAGGGGAATGGATGACATGTCATCTTCCAACGCCGGAAGCGGAAGTAAGATTGATAAACACCAGTGTGTGTATGATGTTCCAGGAATATCCCAATTACAAAGAAAAATCCGGTTTCTTCGCCATATCCCATTTCTCCAAACTTACAAACCAAAATGATGAATATAGCGACTTACATTCCAATATTTGTCACGTTTTTTATTCAAAAGATAAATTTATCAGAGTGATTGAGAGCCGAATAGAAAAATTTGATATCGGGATACCCTTCTATAAAACTAAAACAATTGTATAACTGAAGGTGAGATTTTCAGTATTATTTCGCGCAAGGAAAAGGATATATAAACATCTGCTTCCGGTTTTAATTCACAGTATGTAAAATTTGTTATTCCAGAGAATCATTTCTTCCATGTTTTTATTATTGATATTAATAAAGATATTTAGTAGTTTCAGTTAATTGTCGGTTATATGAAACTCGTCAGAATTGACAATATATTTATATATGTATCGTTTTAAGATAATAGGGATGCAGTAGATGATGTACATGGCGGCCATGTACACATGTACACTTTGTCAGAACCATGGGACGTTAATTCCTAAAAGGTTTCAGTTAAATCGGCCCCTTAGAACTTGACTTTAAGTTTGAAATAGTTGTTTTCAAAATGGCGGCCATATTTGATTTCTAATGGACCCGAAAAATAACAACATTTTGTCAGGACCATGATTCAATGCCAGAAGATTATGTAAATTAAATACCTAAACATTAAATAAGGAAAATGAAAATACCGATCGAAATTATCAAGAACCCAAAATTGCAAACATGATATTTCTTAGTTAAAACTTGACATGATGTCAGTAGATGGGGAAATTAAGCTCAAACACAGATTTGTTATGGATAAACATCTTATCAAATTTACAGTTAATGGAACCAAACGTTTTAAAATTTCATTCAAAACTACTGCATTTTTTTAAATTTCAAATTGAAAATCCCAGTTGTTATCGAACTGACAGTTGATTAAAAACTGACTACGGACTATTAACTTGATGATTTAATTTCTGGAAAGCCGATCGCATTAATTTCTATTAGTGTATATATATGTGGCAGAGCAATATTGATTTTACATTGCAAAGGGCCGTTCAATTCATATATATAAGCATTGTGCAAAATTCACTATTAGAAATATTTTTTTAAATATTCTCTGATTTTTACCTTGTTGTGTGTGTATGTTGTCGATGAAATGATAAATTTGGAGGAGCACTACGGTAATCTAGGTTACTTAAGTGATTCATCCACAATCAGTCACTGCCTTGTGTAACGCCGAATGCAAAGCATCGGATTGATCAATAATTGACATCTGTTGGGGTGAATTTGTGGTTTATTGACAGAAAAAAGATATATTTAACCAAGACGATGTCGAGGTCTACATCACATTCGCGGGTCCATATAACCATATATTCACCGAAATAAAAGTCCATAGTTAAATTGGATGCTAAATACTGTTGTTGTTTTTTAATATTATAAAAATTATCTAGAGAAAAATTCTGCGTTTGGTAGAGAGCGCTATAATGATGTATTTTAACTGACGTCATAGATGAATATTTCAAATTACCGCAATTTTCATACAGGTGGAAAAACAAGCTTAAATAGTTAACATGGTTTTCCAATTTCATTTGCAAGGTTATATCTATCCGATTCTCCCACACCAATTCTCATTAACATTATATATTCAATGAAGTATCATTAATAATAATATTTCGTAAATGATACATATTTAATTTCATTTGCAAGGTTATATCTATTGTTGATAAAATGATAAGATAAAATCGTCACGTTAAATGAGCACAATCTACAGTACAATAAATATGTTTCCATCCGATTCTCCCTCACCAACATTATATATTCAATAAAGTATCATTAAATGATAGATATTTATACAAACAAGTAAATCAAAGCTTAAATACTATTTAAGCGTGTTGTTTATAGATAACAAATTACCAATCATTCATGAAATCATGAAATTTCACAGCTTTAATGTGTTTTGTCAAATACGTTTACAGTTGTCCTCAAGAGAATCAATGCGGTGACACATTAGACATGACAAATATCCAACACAACCGACATTACATCAGTGCATTAGCCAATTCCGGAACATTTAAGTTATCAATGATTCCTTTAGGTTGAACAGGATTCATGTTAACTACGCTGCACTCTGCTTAGATAAAGAATACCGAAGTTCCAACAAAACTGTAACACGAACTCAAAATTGATAAAACTAGAGCAAAATATGACTTGAGGAATTATGGAGACCATTAAAAGCTACAAAGACAAAAAGATCAGGAGTTAGGGAAGGGTTAATCTCTTCTACTTCAACACAAACACACGCCATGTGCATCGTGGTTTGATTTAAGTAACGTCACGTCATGATAACGAGACTGGAAAAGTGACAACGAAACTAAATGACATACTAATGAATATAAAAAACAGCGACCTTCAATTCACACAAAGAAATAACATATTTCCTAATAAGATAAAGATTGGGATCATAACAAACAAACTAGAAAAGTAAGACACATGCTATATAACACTCCCGCATAAAAAATCCGAAAAATAGCATATTATTAACAACAACATACAAGACAAAATTAATGACAAATTTTAAGACAACTAATAAATCGCATTCGTTTGAATAACAACCTAAGATACCAACCACATCTACCAAGTTCAGATGTATCGGCTTAGAATGTAAGTAGTGGTATTTTGGAGAAAAGTTATAAACGGAAATCAGAAAAAGGGCTTTAAAGCCCATACAAAGGACCGGATAAATATTAAGCGTTGATGCACAACTTCCGATTGTGGTTATGACATATGTAACACATTAACACGATTTTGATTAGTATTTTTGCGGGAGTTGTGTCTGCAAATTGTGGCTAATAATTCTGTAAAAGAGGCATAATCCTTACAACAACAGCTGGATCACAAAGCGTAACATAAACACTAGTTTAGAGTGTTTTGTCTACATCAGTTAAGTTCAACAACTTGGATGAAATTGTAGCAGGAGATTTCCAAACAAAATCCGTCTACAGACAACTTAATTTCAGTATACAGACCAATTTTATTGCAGTAGTATAAAATAGGTTGGCAAGACTAGTGAATAACTTCAAATGTAATAAAATCGAAAGAATAATAAAAGTTCCCCTGGCGGTTTTGGTATTATTCCGTGTATTTTTGTGTCACAAATGACCAGCCTGATCTTCGGGTTAGGTGACTGGCAAGAATTCATTTCGTGACGATGATATGACAGGATGGTACCACTATTAAGAAGTCCATTTATTCATAAGACACATGGTGTTTACCTTTCTTGTTCAGGATGCTTTTTGTGAGTCAGTTCATATTCTTATGTTTTGTTAATCGATTTTGCGGAGAATGTTGTTTGGGATGCAGTTTGTTTGTAGTGCTCAGTGTGTCTTTGCTACGGTTTTGAAGATGTCAGTTCTTGTTCCTGTGTTTTTATGTCGATTTTGAAACACAGTTTTGTCCTTGTGTAACGAGCTTTATGATAATATTATCGTTGGAGGACTTTCAAATTCCATTTAAGTATCTTATCTGTTTGTTGTTATTATTTAAAGTAATTGACAGGAAAATAATGGGGGGAAATGAAGATTGCTATATGTGAGTTGTTTTTCTCATGGACGATTTAATACCAACAAACATATTGTTTGCCTTGACATAATCATTATTCTATTTGTGAGAGACCCCAAAGTTGTATCCTCCATTCGCCGTGTCTCTTCAACATGACCTGTTGTTATTGTAAGGTGGTTCCAAATGGCACAGTTGATAGTGAAATGAAAAACTAGAAATGTTTCGAAAGTTTCAGTAACCCTTGCAGTGAACGATTTTCATTTATTAAAATTATGACGCATAGTGCATGAGCTATAATGCACGTTTTTCAATTTAGTGCGTGGTAAATTTCAAAACTGAGTTAATGAGAAAGTTTGTGAGAAATGTGATTAAAGTCAGTTATTTCCCTTAATCCTTTGACCCTCTGTTGAAATAAATAAATTTGTTATACTATATTTTAACAGAAACAGAACTTCTTTCTATTGATTTATTGATAACAAAAAGCTACAAAATGGGCCTCTTCTTCACGATTATAACTTGTGCTGCTATGTCAATACACATCCATGGTGAATATTAGCTGTAACTGAATGTTAAACTAAGGCGTTTCGGGGTGTTTTTCCTGAATGTAAGTAGAAGCAAGCGGTTCTGTGGTTAAAGAACGATTCCTTTGGTTAACAGTGGCATTAATTTAACGTAGGCGGTGTTTGCACGCTTTCCGTAAACAAAGGGAAATAATTCTTTGCAACACGAAGGTTGGTTATAAAAGCATAAAAGTCAACTTAAGCGATAATTCTGAACTTGATCACCACAAAAACACATTGAGTTTCAGCAAATCTTCCTTATATCAACATCAAAGGACATTATAGTCTTGAGCCACTACTCATTTTAAGGATCCCTGTCCCACTGCACTGTGTTATTCCTATATGCAGTAACATCCCCTTAACATACGTTTGGTTATAACTGTAGTGTGTTTTGGCCAAGTCACTTTCGTTGATGAGCCACCTCAATCAGTTAGAGCGATATTAAAACAATCCCGATCTGGCCCCGTTGATTTTAACCACTCAGATTACTGCTGCTTATTCATATTTTGTTGATTTCATATCTGTTATCTCTCATAAAAGCCCGCAAGGTATGGTTTTCTTTCATAAATGATTAACCCAAGTTATCGAAATGCCGGAAAAAGCAGTTTCAACACTTGGTTACAGTTTTGGGCAGTGGTACGCGGATCCTTAAGCTAGAGTGAACATATCTTGATGGTGTGGATGGATACATAATATCAAAATCCTCTTATTATGAAGGTTTTTGGTCAATTGATTGTCGAATACCTCGATAATCTCGAAATATTGACGACACCCATATAACGAAGGTAAACTATAACTACTCTGTTAAGCAAAATAATAGCACATCTAATTTATATTGGCAACTAGTCTCCAATGTTGTAACCTTATAACGGAAACCAGATGCTGGTATTCCATTATCTCGAATATCCGAGTCTCCATCCTGGTACATATACATATATATCAATGACTTTTTTCACGGCTACATTTCATATTGTTTCCAACACGCTGCATGCTTATGTTTGAATTAGACGAGTTTGTAGCCATGTTTATTCAAGTCGATAGGGTTGTAAAAACGGAATGTGTCGAAGTAGCGGGATTTTTCTTTGTAATTGTGATACTCCTGGAACATCGTACACAGAGTGGTGTGTATCAGTGTCACTTCCGTTTCCGGTTTTAAAAGACGTCATATCATCCATTCCTCTCTCTTCTGTGGTTCCTGCAATTTATAAATCGTACTGGATTTCACTTAGAAAACGTTTAAGAAAGATGGAAAGATTTCTTTCTTGAACATTTAAATATGAGGTTTGCTTCATCATTCGACTGCCATTCTATTTTACAGTTTTATTTGATTTGATGTTGATTTAAAGGACAGAATTTCTGCCTAAGTTTAAACAGTTTTCATTTCCGAAGTCAAAGCTATATACATAGCATTACGCACATATGGAGGCACGTCCTTAGATGGCTTTAGCTATTGACCCTATAAAACTTAACCCTATATAACCCAACTGTAGAAAAATGAGTGTATCAGTGACATTTGATTACCTACCTCTAACAGTGTTATCCAGGATGATGGAAGTTAATCCAGACACAAACATCTGAGTCCCGAGGATCAGCTTCAGCACCTGGTCCAAGGAGGCGTAACCTGTACACAAAAAAATACAATATATTGAGTAAGGTTTGATTTTTAGATTCTTTGTCGTAATTCAGACGACTTAATTCCTGCATGGATTTTGATCAAACTTTATATATTGGTCATTAGAATAGTCAAGAATACAATTTGTAAAAATAATGTTACATGTGTGATTTGTATTTTTAGTTTATCTGTATATAAGTGACTTTATTATTATTAGATGATGTTTCTAGAGTGAGGCGTACATAGATAGTTTGAAATATGTAATCAGGACCCACATGCGAGGCTATTTCTGAACCTTGCTTTCGCGCATACTATATTTTTTTTAAATGATTGAATGAGCCCACGTACCCGTATCAATGCTGTCTTTGTTGAGTTTTAGCCATTCGGAAATGACCAAGCCTGTGTACAATGATGTACCCAGTACCGCAAGGTTCCGAGTAGATGACAGGTTAACCCTCTGTAGTGAAGACAACCCTATGGATACCAGCAATCCAAATAAGACTATAGTCACTCCCCCCATAACCGGATCAGGAAGTGACGCCAATACTGCGCCAAATTTACCAATAACTCCGAAAAGTAGGCAAATGGAGCCGGCCAGAAGCATGACACTCCGACTGGCAACCTGTATAAAAAGCATCGAAGGATACTTGTTTGGTTAGCAATAACGATAACCTCAGCTTGTACAATTGAACACTCTTTGGTTCACAAACATGTATATATCAACAAAATTTCTAAGGATATTTCAAATTTGTTTCTTAGTGGCAAATATAAAAATATTGATATTAATACTTTGAAATGAGGCTTAAATTGAATAAATTTAATCGTCCAGGGGTAAGTTCAACTATATTTAGGGTTACACATGCATTACTAAAGATGTTTGGCAATATAACGTGAAAACTGAACAAAGGTAGTGCTAGAAAAAGAAAATTAAAATGTATAGGCGGTAAACGAAGTTACAATGAAATGAGGGACACTGTATCGAGATTGTATGGTACATGAAAATGTGTAAGTCCTTCAGTGTTATTAATACCTCTTTATATTATGAAAATCATTTTGCTTTCAATTATTTTTACAAAAAAATATTTAATACATTCATATTCAAATTAATTGTGTTCATACTTGTGTGATCTTTATGATAACAACGTTGTCACTGTAGGACGTCGTAGCGTGCCCGGCCCCCAGGGCCCCTGCCACCACCCCCATGATGCCCTCTGTCAGTATCCCTCGGTTGATTGCGTGACGGGGTGGAGGAAAGGTTCCTGTGGCCCGGGAGACAATCATGTAATCCCCTATGGATTCCACATTTGAGGACAGATAGGAACTCACAAACCCAATGAAAATCGCTGTATTGAAACGGGGTGGACCAAACTGACCTAGAAAACAAAAAAAGAGTTATGGTCATTTGTTTATAGTCATTAGGGCAGATGCAAATAATTGATCACAAACCTTATTCTTTGCTTCTTCGGGAAAGAATATACTGTATACCACCGCATGATTTTAAGAGGTCACTTAAACGCGGACCCCTGCATAATTGTTTATTTTCTTCTGCTCAAAATATTCACTATTAAAACGTTAACATTAATTGTGAATATTTCGACAAATTGGAGTTATGGCCGATTTCTGGCTTTGCCATTACCGTCTGGTCCGTGCAGTTTGGATACTGAGTAAAGACTAAACCTGATGTAACCTACTGCAGGCTGCAAGAAGCAACTGATAAGCAATCATACACATATATATTCCTGCATTACACACATAGAGCCATCCTTAAATGCCTTAGCTTTTAAAAGAAAGTTAAACAATATAAAACCAAACCATTGCTAACAAACTAACGTGTCAGATTTCATGCATTTGTCAACGAATAATGACTATCGTAACCATAACACCATTCAAACTTCCCTCCTTCTGTAACATTTTTGATGTCTTTATTGTTATTACCATCTTCTGAATTCAAAATATCCTCGTAACTTTAGGCCAAAACTTTTGAACCAAATCCTGATTACATAATCAATTGATAATATTACAAAACGCAGATAATCGCTATATTTTCACGAAATAATTCTAACACAAGATAATACATAAATACTTACCTGGGTAAGGGAAGAAGAGCCACGGAGACAGGGTTATCAGATCTCCACGTGTGTCTGTCCGGGCTCCATATGCGGGTTCACTTGGGTCATCAGGAAATACGCCTGCCAAGGTCAGGACCCCACACAGTGCCCATGTAATCACCACACTGATGAAAAGCTATTGCGCGCGATTGATGACGTCAGTAATTAAAACAACACATAAAAAGCAACGTAAGAGTACAAACGGCAAAAGAGATATCAGCATGGGAATTAAACATGAATGTCAAAGGTTGTAGCACAAAACATCGCGCCAATTTTAGAAACAAGCAACAAAAGAAAATTTTTAATTATAACAGCAACACGAAAAAGGTTACAAAAATAAGTATATCAAGAATAAACGAATTCTTAGAACAAAGCTACTAACAATTCCTTTTGAAAATCAATTTCTGTTGAAAATGTCTTCATGTTCAGATTTAAGACAGATGATCAACATTTCAGTTACATTGTAGAATATCACAAAATAGGATTTCAGCACAAAAGGAGAACTTACCGGAAATGTCTGAAAAATTGGCAATTTTGTGTTTCTGTTACACTCTGTAGCCTTCTTCCTGTTGCAATGTATTGTTGGTATCGTGACGTAGATTCGTGTGAGGTACATGACAAACAAAATCATCATTAAAGTACCGCTGTAAGAAATATGTACTTTTGCTATGAAAACAAGAATGAATGTGTGTTTAAACTTGTGACATGCAATGCATTATCATTACTTTTGCACTTCAAGTAATCCATAAATGATCACACATTAGTCTTTAACAGCTAAGATACGCAGAAAGCATTAGCTGTCCATTCCCACAAAATGGTCAAACAGGGTCACGCGCAAGTTTTAATGGTCCTTATACACGATAAAGTCATACTGGGTCGCAAAATTGTCCTAAACAGAAATATGTACTTGTTTTAGACCATTACGAGATATAGTTCCAACAGTAATGACAACGGTTAAGTTGTTGTTGACTGATGATAGCTCCTCAAATGGGTTGGGGGGGGGGGGAGAGATTTCGAAATTGTATCTTGTGGCATATTGATGTTACCTGCAGATATATAACCATTCAATTTAAGGACGAGTAGTCTTGCATTGAAAGCTTCAAAAATCAACTCACCAAACAGCCACTGGAAGGTACTTGCTACAGTAGAATATAGGGATGGGGTACAAAGATAATCCAAGTGAGGTAATTGTCACACAAACAGTTATTGGGCCCACCAGTTTCACCAGGTATCCCAGGAGGCCAGTCCCGCCAAGGAACACTTCCGTTACTAGACCGGAAACCATCAAACTTCCCTGAAGCTTTATGACAAATCAAGGAAACAGGAACTATGTCATGTTCATGTAACTAACTTTCAAAAAAGAAATGTTATCTATGGAAAACAACTTAGAATGCACTTTAAATTACTTCATAGTATTTTCTTGTAATTTGTAAGAAAATCAAACGTTTTATGTTTTTAAGTGACACGTAGTGTCACGGATTTATTGTAAATGTTACTGAGTGGTTGATTATTTATAACAATAATTAAAGGGTTTTTATTAAGAAATATATTATATTTAGTTTATTTTATCATTTTGAGTATGCCCTTATTGAGGATGTAGTTTTAATGAACTTGTTATCCATTGAAAATAATTCATATATGTATTAAATGTTAAACGTTTGTTCATGTTTTTTTAGGGATCCAAAGGTGTTTTATTTGAAAGTGATGTTTCATTTGAAAAATGATAAAGAATTACCCAAAAATAATATGCTTCACTCTGATACCAAAAATATTCCCTTTCTTATACTTGACAAGTCTTCCGTTCAGAGAGAAATTGCTTATCCTTTTCTATTTTCTAAAATCTGATGACTTCATCCGAAAGAACCCCACCAGTTGTCTTTTAAATTTTATATTTCCCCCTATGGCGTTAATAGACCCTTTTGTTTATTTTTAATAAAAGCATGTGTAAACTCCGCCACGGAAATTTCAGGTTTTACCTGCGTTACCCGGTAGTAAACCAGTTCCTGTTTTGTCGCCATGGTGACATTCTGAAGCAGCGTCTGATTGCTTGACATCGATACTGAAAGATTAATTGTTGATACAACGGTTTTTAACAATGGCGTAAAAATTGTATTTTGTGACACAATGTTTTTTTCAGATTATGATAAGAGTTAAGGTTGAGAGACTGAGAGGTTTGTGTTTTATCACCAACAAAGAAGACTTCGAATTGTATTAGTCATTTTTCTGATTTGAAATTGTTTCCCCTTCCACCATAGTTTTGCGATTTATACGACAGTTATACATCTTGGCAACCGGAATCATAGGCTTAGTAGGGAGCTATGCTATTCGACATATTTGTTATGTTATTACTAGCATACCCTCAAATTGTTCAAACTTCCTAAATTGGACCGGAAGCTATACTTGTCCATATATGCATACAGTAAATAATTGTAATGTCTGCTTAGAGTAGCAAAGTGATGAACCTTTCCTCCTAAAGATTGTAGTAATTTGATATACTCGGACATTTTAACTGTAAATCAACTAACTTCTGCGTGTACTTATTTTCCTAGAATTCCTTCTAAAGATTCGTTCGCCAGGCGAAAACACAAGTATACCCTATTCTAACTCGTGTTTTCTTGAGCCCTTTACAGACAGAAAAGACCTGTTGTAACATACAACATGTTGTAAGAGCTGACTTACATATGACCCGCTGCATTCAGGGGTTTTCCTCGGTGTATTTGGTTTAGGGAACACAGAAAAAACCAAAATTGACCTTCTGCCCATTTTAACACCTTGCTTAAAGAGTAACTGTAGTGCAAATAGAAACCGATAATAAAACATTCCTTGTGTTTTTATAATGATGTTGCCGAAAACCGCATCGAAATCGGTGGACCGGTTACCAAGTTACGACAGGTAGAAGTTGAGCTTTTTACCTGCGTTTCCATATGCTCATCAAGCGTACCGCGCGCCGCTAAAAGTTGTGCACACGTATCGGTGACGTCACAACGGGAACACAAGAAAAACCGGCATCATGGCGAATAACGTTACCTACGTATCGACCTCAGAAAGCGACGAAGAATCTGTTGATTTATACATATCTGACGGCTCATCTTACTTTGAGATGGACGGAGCAACCTACGACGGAGTAACACAGCCTTACATGTTCGAACCAGAGACGGATGACGACCCAAACGAGGAAACTTCAGTGGCCGACCACGAGCCCGAGATCCAAGCCATACGATTGGTAAGCTTATTTTGACGCAAATTAGGTTGATTATTAGACCATTTTTTGACTATAAGAAAGATTAGCCTACCAGCATTTCTTCGCTAAGTAACGTGTATAGAAAATTCAGTTGTCACATTACACAAAAATGTAGATTTGGCGCAATACAACTAGAAACTATGAACGGATACCGGTTTTCTAGGTCCTTACAGCTATCGCTCAAATGGCAGTGCAAAGTACCTTGATAAGAAAGTATATGTCTTCAAGTTCAAAGAAAACTTATTACATCTCCTTCAATTTTCAGGTGTAAATGCGGACACTGTCCTGCGATGTCTACCGAAGTGGAAAGTATTTGTTGCAAAGAAGTCGACCAGGTCCAAGTCATGATGGATGCCATTCCGGGTGATCTATCATGCATCACTCTCCATCCTGGATTTGATGCTGTCTGTTTAAACATTTATGTTCTGCAGACAGCATACCTGACATTTCGTCAGTACCATGGTCAATTGACAGACGATGAAAACAAGTAAGTAAACATACATTTTATTTAATCATTATTATTTAATTTGTTTTTCAATGTTTAACAATCTTACTGAATGTATACATAGAACAACAAAACACTGCATTGTGAAAGATGAATAAAACCCAAGAATATATGAATTTTTCAGCAATTTTGCAAGAGTCTATCCACTTTATTCAAAGTAGTTCTAACCAGTCTGTTTGAAAATGAAGAGTTGGAAGATACCATATATGCTATCTTTTTTATGCAAGACAATGATTTTTTTTCCAGGAGAAATCGATATATTGCCTATCGTCAATTTGTGAGATGGTGCTGGGGTTGGCTAGGTCGACATGTTCGTATACGACTCCCAGCATGTGCTGTTACATGTATCAGGAATGCTTTCCCTGCACCGGACGGACAATACAATGGCTTTAAATTTGAATGAGAAAACAACAGAACACTTTCTTATTTGTATGCTTATTTATGATTAAATTAGCTCCTGTTTTTTTATGTCAGTTTGATGTTTATGTAGACATTTTGTTCCCATTACTACATTAAATATCATATATAACCAACATACTTTATTATTTTCAAACAGATCACAATTATTAAAATGTCAAAGACCAGGCCCCGGTTGCTCAAATGTTATTAGAGATATTAGTGGTGGTTATAACTAATCCTCAAAACACATCATTTATTTTTCTCAAAAAATCAAGTAAAATGATTAAAAAGATCTCTGGTGTTTTTGATTTTGTTGTATTCAGGTTATAGTTTTCCCTAACTGATAAAAAAGTATCTTTAACTTAAACAACTGGGCCCAGCACTTTGCATAGTCCAACATGTTTAGTCTCCATATCTCCATGCATAATTCCAAAGGCTCAACTGTAGGCTAGTGCCTAAACCTAGACATCAGTCCAGAAACAGCTTCAGACTTCTCTGGGTGAACAAAGTTCATACAGAGTGGTGGTGGCGATTCTCCAACAACCTCGCAGTTTGGAATCTGTAAAAGTTTCACCCTTTGCTTGGTTGCCTTCATCAAATCTTCCACATAATCTGTAACATGACAAGAAAGAGTTATTAGACCTTTGAAATGTTGCTCTTTTAATTGTTTTAATATGCATAAAGTGCTATCAAAATGCACAAGATGATAAATTATTGAAAATATGGGAACACAGAAATTTGAAGTTGCCACATAAAAACATATATATAAAACACTCGTTCTCAAAGCAGCAAAAAAAAAATATTCTGGCATATTCTGTAATTGGCAGTTTGAAACCATTGAATTATTTTCTAAAGTAAAATTACGAATGGAATTGAATAATCATATAACTTACTGAAGGTGCACTCTGTTCTCACTTGTCGAACTGTGTAATCACCGTTCTTCTGTTTGGGGAATGTTATTCTGAATCTCTTTTCACCATTTGGAAGAGAAGCCTGTTCTCTGGACACATTCTCATTGAAGTGCAGTGCAGCCAGCAACAATCTGCAGAAGCGAAAAAAAACTACACTTGACAACGAATATCTTACCGACAGTGTCATCAAACATAGTTGAAATAGTAAAAAAGAAAAATAACTTTCTACACAATGTATCAAATGTGCTGTCTCAACCCTTCAAGAACTGTCCCTTTACACTAAAGGGGAGTGAGCGATTTGTATGAGTTTATCTGTATAACGATGTGACGAATTCATATATTTTTTTATCCTGACCCAGTGGATTTTGCCTATCGATAGAGAGCATATAAACACTGCATGTTTAGGTCAAGTTGAACTGATTTCCTTCTTGGGAGTATGACAAGGTATTTTTGTAAAATGTTGAATTACACCTCAAATAATTTTGGATGTAATTTTCAACAATGATATGACTATTAAACATCTATAGACTAGGAGTATAAATTGATGAGGCATTATAACGTGGAACATACCGACTCTGCATTCCATGGTAAGAGAAGCCAATCATTTTTGGTGCAAAATGATTGATCACAGAGTGATAGGCCTCAAGATGCGAGGTCTGCTGACCGCTCGAGAGCATTGGGATGTCTCTCTTTAAGTATGTGGAGGACAGGATCAATCCCAGCTTTTCGTTAACCTTTGTTGCTGAAACATATAAAACAAGTTATTAATATATCTTAGACTTATTGAAGTCCTCATCATTGATTCTTTATTTACAAATACAAAACCAATTTGACAATGAAAATGGAAGGAATCTTTATAAGACGGTAAAACATTTGATTGCTAATGCTATGGTACTGTATAATAAAATCACATATTTACTAAATGCCATCTCAATGATAAAAGCATAGTTGACAGAAATACTTCTACTGCAAAAACAGGAAAACTTGACAAACACTTTTTATTAACTATTTTGCCAGTTAGTAGAAACTTGTACCTGGTTTCAGCCATTTCTTGTTTCTGCGAGAGGGGTCCAGAGGTAGATGGGAACATGCTGGGAAGAGTGATCCGTGACCATGGTGAACATTCTGGATGTGGTTTCCTACGCTAGCCCATTTCTGCAGCATCATATCCCTATTGCTATCTGGTGTTGATGATGCAACCCAGTAGAGGTGGTTGAGGATGCTCTTAATCCATCCATGCAATTCAGCACAGTCCCTCTCTTTTGAAAGCGCCACCAGTTTCTTCTTTAAACCTAAAAAAATCAAATTTTCAAACAAAATAAAAGTTCAGCTGAAGTGGTAATATGTGAAACATATCTGAATTGTGTTTATGTTTTGTTGCTGTTGTATTGTTTTACAGCCCATCAGCAATGTTAGTCATTTAGGGTCAAACAACATAAAAAAATACCTATTTACTTCATTTTTCTTCTAAATTTCAAATCTGGTTATTGCCAAAACAACAAAGCATGTGAATGCGGTACAGTGTTTTCAATTGCAACGATACTCCTCAAACTTGAGTTTAACTTTTAATTACCTTTTGCAACATGCCAGACGTCAAAACAGTGCTGGGTGTCTACAATTTACTTTGACCTAGAATCAGGAAATTGAGAATTTTTTCTTTACGCTTATATTTTGTCAAGTAGATGAAAGCTGACAAACGTTTTGTTTTGACCCAAGTACCTGAATCTTCATTGATTCATTGAATCATGTCACATGACGATATTGTATAATATACCATACATATATATAAAATATCAACAATACCTGTCATCCTCTCCTTCACTGTCACTGGACATTTCACTCTCAACTTGGTAATCAAAGTCACTTCCAGGGTTCTCGGATATAAAAGATCCTGGATCGCTGATAACTGGACTTGGATCAGGAAGGGGTACAGTGGTGACATGCTGTCTTTGCGGGCTAGGAATTATATCACACATGATGCCAATTTCTCGGGTTTTTGGTCCTAATGCTTGACATCCTTGATAAAGGAAAAAATAACAGAGTTCAGCAAAATATGAAAAAATAACAATTAAATCTGGCATTGTACAAACTCATTACGACAATAACATTGAGTCATTACAAACAAATCTTTATAATGTAAAAAGGAAAGCTTAAAGCAGGGGTTAGTATATACTTTATGGTGGACAAAAAAAATATATTGGGGTTTGGCTCTAAATGATAATGCATTTCTATTCCTTACTGAACATTTTATGCTAAGCAATGCTTAGAAAAGTAAGACAATTATTTATTCTTAATCTTGCCGGTTAAATTGTTCCTCTACACTCATAGAAGAAAATGTAGTTGTTAGCCTAAATCTAAATTTAGTTACAGGGGGAAAAATAGCCTGCTCACCACAATTTATTGAAATTAAAACTATACATATATATAAATATTATATTATAGACATAAATATTGGCAATATTTACATTGGTTTGAGAATAAACATGTGCATGTAGTGTATGGTGATTTACCTTTATCCTTTCCTTTAGATCTTGTTTGTGTGTAGTGGGATCTTTGTGATGGCCGACTTAAACTCTTCTATGAAGCTACAGACTTAGTTTTAGGCTCCTCTGAGACAACAGTTACCTGAAAAAAGGAAACATGATATATATAATTATGAAACATCAGGGCCATTGATCATACAAGGTACATAGATAAAATAAATATTTTCAATCTTCAAGGGCTAGTTTTTATTTTATACAGTTACAGATCAGGATATAATTATTTTGTATGCATATTATTGTTGTTTATGTTCAAAAAAATATTACTATTTTATTTTGCAAGGTTCCGGTTGTGTCAGGGAAGTTATCACGCACATCAGACTAACAGAGCCATCAAGTTTTTAAAAGGACCTCCAGATTATTTTCTAGTGAAACTCGCAACCTCCCATGGCAGGATAAATAAAGTTAGTGCATGTATCCAAGTCTGGTCAAAAGTCATTGATCCCTTGCAGGTTTATGTGTTCTTACCATTGAGTAGGTTAGGTTAACATAGAATAAAAATGATTATAAAAAAAAAAATCAGACTGGTTTCAATAGCAACTAATTGGGGCCAATCATTGTGTGTCATCAATTAATTCAATTTACACAAAGATAAGATAATACCTTACCGCCATACTTGAGCTTAGCTCATCTTCTTCAATATGTGGTGGTGCCTGTGGACAGGTAGCATTTTCTGGCTCACGTTCTTCATACTCTCTGATCAACTGCAATTTGTAAATAAGCATGATATAGAGATGTCCCCTTAATATCAATATTTTGCAATGCAATATTAATTCATTTAGATAATTTCTGTTTTATAATTTGTTAAGATTGACAAATTACTAAGATATTGAGATTTAAAGCTATTACCTTTACACATTCACACAAGGCCCTTAACAGTGTCACATTAGTTTTAAAAAAAAAGTCGAAATAGGATTTCCGTCGAAACAGGTTACACGTGTAGAAATCATTGGTCATCAGTACAAGATTACATATAATATATTTATATAGGAAACACATATAAACACTCACACGTTGGATGTCCCTTTTAACGAATGCCGACCTAGGCCTTTTTCACAGTCTTCGGTGTTGTCAACTCAGTCTCGGGGCTTGAGGAACGTTTCCCATTCGGTGTCGGCATGGTCGGTGTCGTTGCACTATTGAAAATAGTAGGGACGGCATCTTCTTCAAGTGTCCTCTTCACAGTCTTCCCACTTGATTCCAACAGTCCTAGCCGGAATTTCAGTGGAAAACAATCTTCCTCGAAGTGGGCACTACACAACACTGTGTGACGAGTCGGCTCCCAATCTTTGCGTTTTCTTCTCACAAAAGCAACCCATTGTCGGTGAATATCAGGTCTCTTTGCAGGAAAAGTATGCATGGAAACTCCATTGATAGTAGTATTGGAGCATCCTCCTGCAACACAACGTCGACCACAGCGAGATACCGGTGTGTTTTCTTTGTAAATCACGGACATGACGAAGATGTTTTGATAGTCTTTCGTAATGGCTACCCGAGCTTACCTGAGTTTGGGTCACCGCTGCTACGTCACTTCCGGTCGTAGGTCAAAATCGGATTTGCGCTCAGTTGTGAAATTTAGTAAAATGGTTACAACTTCGATATTTTTGCAAAAAAAAAAATTTTTTTGATTATTTTGATGGTTTTATTTATTAATCTTTCTTTACCTAAAAAATATTGCAGCACTACAGTTACTCTTTAAAACATTGAAGTTAAACAAGGCAACTGGAAATGATAATATAAGTCATAATATGTTAGAAAATACTGCCGAGACGGTTTGCGAACCCCTGTTTATTTTATTCGCTAGATCATTAGGAGAATGCAAATTCCCCTCGGCATGGACATTAGCTACACTTCTACCATTATTTAAGAAAAATGAACGAACTCTTCCAAAGTTCTGTAAGCAAACTGTTTGAGAGAGTCATACACAAATCCCTTCATAATTATATGTTAGAGAATAATTTACTTTACAAATATCAATTGGGTTTCGTTAAAGGACATTCAACCGTTTACCAATTAATAGAAATTTATCATAATGTTTGTTCTGCTCTGGAAATTAAGCAATATCCAAGGCTTTTGACAGGGTGTGGCACAGGGTTTTTATTAATTAAATTATATGCTTATGGTATCGAGGGTAATATTCTCTGCTGGAATAAGGATTATCTACTTGAAAGAAAGCAGCAGGTCATATTAGGTAACTCTACTTCTTCAATTGGGCATTTAAATGCAGGTGTTCCACAGGGGTCGGTTCTCGGACCTTTCCTATTTTTAGCTCACCTGGCCCGAAGGGCCAAGCCAAGTGGGTTTATGGCATGGTGCGGCGTCCGTTGTCCGTCCGTCCGCCCGGTGTCCGTCCGGCGTCAACTTTTTACTTTAAACAACCTTTTCTCAGTAACCAAAAGGCCTAGGGTGATGATATTTAGCCAGCCTCACCTCCCTACCCTTTTTGCTTGGCGGTAACTCGTCTTCATATGAGTCGTTGCTAGGGCTTTAAACAAAGTACTAAGTACATACGAACAAAAGCTATGTATCCGTCTTTATTTGACAATAACATTTACGATGTAATGGAACTACTAGCATACAAACAAAATAGATAAGTATTGACCTATAGTGTGATTGCGTATACGATAGTATGGACGTGGTTGTCAACGAACATATTCTATAGTGCGCGTTTACTGAGCTGCGGAAGGGAGAGACATAAATATAACAAAATGTCTTCGCGATTTCCTACCAATAGAAACGTCAATTACAATATAACCCTTTCTTGATATATTTGTTTGTTTGTTTGTTTTTTTAATAAGGTTAAACATCCTTGCAACAACTAAGATCAGGTAAAAAGGAGTGCCTGGGGGACACCACCGAGCATAGAGTAGGCATGAGTAGCCAAAATACAGATCCCAAGTGTTGCAATGGAGGTACAGATTCAAATTAGATAGGTGACAATCTTCAAAAAACCCTGCTTTTATTTGAATATCGTTGTGATAGACTCTGATTTCTGTTTGCATCCTTCTTCTACTCGAGTGATTTACCACAGATGCATAGCAAAATACCACAGGTATTGTTGTATTACGTGACATACCCGAATCCATGTCACCGGTACTGTCACATGACCAAACCCCAGCGGTCTTCATAGACACCAACGGTCCCAGGAAGGCACCAGAAACGCCTTGAAGGATGGGAATTCTGAAACAAACAGCCAGTTTATAAAACTACAATGTCCTGGAAACAAGTCTGTCTTAAAAAGTGCAATCCTGTAGTTAGTCCTCGTCTTAATTCTGGATTTGAATATAGAATAAAAACTACCATTGTTGATTTTAATGTTATCTAGGTCACGGTGCAGCGAAGCAGACATGAAAGCAAACTCAAATAGCATATGATGTCAGGAAATAAGATAAGATTATCAAGAATCAATAACTAAGGGTTTAACAATATTTGAAATATAATCAACTAAGGCCGAAAACGCTGGTACAAAACCCATGCATCACATCGGCTCACAAGACCCAGCAAATCCATCCCCGAAATATCAGGGGTTGTGCTCATTAACCTTGTCTGCATTCTTGAATATGTCGTGATAAAATTGAGGGCTCTTGGTTAGCTAGTTGATTGGTTTTGGGTAAAACGAAACCCAGACCACTCGCTAGGCTGATAGGTAACAGCGGAGCGACACCCGACATTACAGCCAGTCAATTTTACAATTACAATTCACGATTCACTTAATGTAAAATGTTTAACCGTTTCAATCTCTTGCGATTTCTTGTGTGTACATCAAAGGATCAAGTCTACTTGTATCATTCACAAGGTGGCGCTTCAAGTCTTCGATTTTGTCGTGATCTATTCAAGTTGTACAGAGAACGTATTTGAGCGTAACCCATGGAATTTCGAGGATGCGTTTAGTCATGTAAACTATTGTATTTAACTGGTACGGTAAGCTAGTTATGTTCACCCAAGGGATTAAGATGAATGAGTCTTATGGTTATATTGCCATCAAAATACAAAAATATTAAGTGGAAATGTATACTCACCTGATGCCGACAGCACTCTGGACGACCGTGGTCAGTCCTACTACGAATACGGACGTACAGAAAAGCTTTGCTCTGATTGGATCGTTCCTGTCTGCACAGGCGAGGTCTGCAATTGTGACACTAACCAGCAGGTTCATTCCAAAGGACAACATTACATTCTATGATAATATAAGGCATCAATTAACATATATTGATATATCACTTCCATATGTACGATCGTATTGGATTGGATTGGATTGGATAAGACACGTGCCTTACAAATATTTCCCAAAATTCATTGAGTGGTAATTAATATATTAACTTCATTTATTCGTTTGTATGTTTTCCATGGTGATATAATTTCCTAGCTTTTACCTTGTACGATGACAAACATATACGTCGTCTTTTCGATTGGTGTTCCCATTTGGGATAACACGAGGGACACAAATATTCTGTCATTTTCCGCACACCACAAAAAAAGAACTTTAAAAAGTGAAAAATAGACCCCCGCCAGTATCTTATATCTGACATGAATACGGACATGTATAAGATAGATCTGCTTCAATATAAATCGATATAATTATGTTTATGAAAATGTTTGCGTTACCATTCTAATCTAATACTACCCATCAGCCTATATTTGATGAATATACCTGTATGGCTAAAATCAGTGACAACAATATGGGTGGATTTTCCCCGACACCGTAACGCAATGACGGAACATCCGGGTACTTTCTTGCCTCGTTGTGGGCTTCCTCTGCTACATCCGGTAATAAACTTGTTACTTCCAACACACCTTTTCCATTCATTTCATTTGGCGATGCGCATTTATTCTCACTACTGTACACGTTCGTATCCATTTTGTTGTCCGACCTGCAATAAACCATGTGACTTTGTGTAATGAATAATACATATGTACATCCTATCAATAAATAACATAAAAGCTGTGCGATATACAGAATAACGAAGTTGCTGAGTCAGATATATTATTACATTATAGTACTGACTATAAAATAAAAAGATTGATGACCCAATGATCACATAACTGGCTGCAAAATAAAATGATTAATGCCAACATACCTCAGTACTGGCTGTAACACAAAATGATTAATGACAACATACCTCAGTACTGGCTGTAAAACAAAATGATTAATGACAGCCTACCACAGTACTGGCTGTAAAATAAAAAATATTGATGACAGCCTACCACAGTACTGGCTGTAAAATAAAAAATATTAATGACAGCCTACCACAGTACTGGCTGCAAAATAAATGATTAATGACAACATACCTCAGTACTGGCTGTAAAACAAAATGATTAATGACAACATACCTCAGTACTGGCTGTAAAATAAAAAGATTAATGACAACATACCACAGTACTGGCTGTAAAATAAAAAGATTAAGAACAACATACCACAGTACTGGCTGTAAAATAAAAAGATTAATGACAACATAGCACAGTACTGGCTGTAAAATAAAAAGATTAATGACAATATACCACAGTACTGGCTGTAAAAAAATGGCAACACACCACAGTACTGGCTGTAAAATAAAAAGATTAATAACAACATAACACAGTACTGGCTGTAAATAAAAAAGATTAATGGCAACATACCACAGTACTGGCTGTAAAATAAAAAGATTAATGGCAACATACCACAGTACGAGATGTACAATAAAAAACATGAATCACATACTTACCTTGTACCGAACATTTCTGTTTTAAAAAATCAACAAAAAGACAGTTTAATATGCCCACTTAGGTTCTCGGCTTCATATGTTTGCGCTGTTCAACTTGTTTTCGTTTATTTTGTTTTATTTATTTATTTATTATAATTATTATTGTGTTATTGTCAACAATTTGATTCAGTGGAATGCTGGTACAACCATCATGTTAACTGACAGATCAATAATAACAAAAATGACCTTTTCTATGTTTATCATCAGCTTTTATTCCAATTAAGCCTCCCGCGAACCCGCCTAACCATGTCCGAATAAAGCTTGTATTTTATTACACTGACCATGCTTTCTCTTTGTACACTAATGTACAAATATGACTACATTATTGTCCATCTTGTAGTAATACAACCAGCGCTCCTATTGCATATGGTCGTGCTTGGTCCCTGCAGGTAGGACGGTAAGGATTATACCTGCTGTCCCCATTGCATGATCGTAAGAAGCGACTAAATTTTGGTTCTTATCTTTTCATTTCTTTCTAAACAACTTTCTTCATCCTAATGTTTCCCTTGAGAGTGCCTCATATTTGGCCTTTAGTTGAGCGTTCGCCCCTGTGAGGAAGGCTTTGGGTTCTGTCCCCTGGCCAAAACACACCAGAGTCTGTAAAATTGTAGTTTCTACTCCTGCTTAACGCTCAGCAATTTAGGAGTGGGGCGACCGGTTCGCCCGTTGTCAGTATAATGTGACCGGGTTGGGTGTCCTGCTGGGTGTCTTTGGCAGTATGTTTCAGTGAGGTAGCACTATAAAGTCTGCATCAGTTCCGCGCTATCACAAGGAGACAAACACGAACATATCGCAGCCTCCCAAAATACACTCGCATACACTACACTCATGCATCTTGCACAAAGTGGAGGCTGTCTTTAAATGACCATAGCTGTTGATAGGACGTTAAACAATACTAAACCAAACTAATGGTCGCGCGTCAACAATAGCACGTGAGCAGTGTTTGACAAAAATCTGATGAGAAATTAAAATACAATGGAAAACAATACAAAAGCTGCCGATGCACACATTTGCAATAAACACTTGTATACCACCTTGTAAATATTCATTTGCACGATTCGTTGTTGTCGATTAAATCCAAAACCTAATCCATATCACGTTCCCTTAACTTCTATTTCATCTCAAGTAATATTCCATTCATTAATGTGCGTTTCGTGTTGATGATATCAGATGTAAGTTGACAGAAAAATCTCTCTAATTAGAAAAGGTTCATGCCGTGTACATAGTTTGTAAATCTGTTTATGTATAGATATTGTGACGTGTCATACGTCCAAATAAAATTTAGAGTACAATAAATCAAATGAACTTATTTAAATAAATCATATTGAATTAAATCGAAATCTTCCATAATTCATTAAGGTTGAAACTTTCTTAAAATAATCATCAAACTACCAAGTTAATTTCCCAGGTACGTGTTTTACGCAGGGAATTCCAGTATATAAATGTATATTAGATGAGGAACGTCAAAGATTACCAAATATATATATATATATGAGTGAGCAATACATCTGACGGAAATTTATAAATGGGTTCAAATTGACAGAAATGGTAACCATAGAAAACACATCTTTGATAAGACCTTAAGGAGAACGCTTTCTTCATAAAAGTCAAAACCTCCCAAGTGTACGTGTTACGCAGGAAATTGTGATAAAATTATCATATTTTAACTATGCAAATGTGTACTAGTTGAACAAAGATAAAGATAGACTTCGCTAATACACCCCCCCCCCCCCCCCCCCCCC